CACACACACACACCACACACACACACCACACACACACCACACACACACACACCACACACACACACCACACACACACCACACACACACACCACACACACACACCACACACACACCACACACACACACACCACACACACACACCACACACACACCACACACACACACCACACACACACACCACACACACACCACACACACACACACCACACACACACACACACACACACACACCTTATCATCTCCTATTTTGAGTTGGAATCAGGAGATTCATTAAATACAATGTTCTGACAATCTGTTAGGAATGAATGCAAGGACTGTGTGATCCGAGGTCCAGCTGACTCCGCCCATGCAAACCCCTGCTGCCACCATCATGTAGTCACCGTTAGAGTCCAGCTATTCCAGGGGAACATTCTAGAACAGCATGTCCAGGACAGTAGCCACAATCAGCCTGGAAGCTCGACTGATCCAAACTTAAGGCAGGCTGTATAGAGCAGAGAGGCAGCAGACGCCAGTGAGATAAGGGTCCTCCTGAGGGAGCTCATTCATAATCTTACGTCATCGACATGAGACTGGTGTTAAGACAAGGACATTTGGATCTGCTGGGTTAAGCGGGCTGTAGCTTACAAGAGTTACGTCCGCCTGTTCCTCTCTAGCTCTGGATGCTGCTACTAGAAACTTCTAAATGACACAGCTGTCCCCCATCGAGTTACTACTGCCAAGTCCCAACCCAGCAGCCTCCCCTCCCCCCCACCGTCCTCTGTCACCCTGTCCTCCGCTCTGAGCACATTACAGTGGGCCAGCCTACTCACACAGAATGAGCAGAAGCCGTGTACATAAGGATGACTTTCAAAAGGGGCACTTGAGAATGAGGTTCCTGGGACCAGTCTTTTGAAACGCAGCCCTTCGCCATGTTCAACTTCTGTGTGAGCCACACCCTGACTTCAGAACTCTCACATAAATTTGTGGTCTGTCTGACTTTTCGCCACAGCCTCCCAAGGCAGGTGTTATAGTTGTGGCTCCACAGACCCCATGACTAACCGATGACAGCTCCCCCGCTTCCCTGAGGCTACTGCGCAGGTGTGTGCCAGGTGCTGTTCTCATTCCTTAACCTAGGTTCTCCCACTGAGTATCTTCAACAAGTCTGGAAGGCAAACACATATATCCCCATTCTACAGATCAACAAACTGAGTCCCAAAAAGACTAGGCAAGGCACAGAGAGTGGCAGAATGGAGACCTGAGCCAAAACTTCCTGCAGGCACCCTTTCCTACCCATCCTATTCTACCTAGAGCACTACTGTTCACACACACACACACAGAGAAAGAGAGAGAGAGAGAGAGAGAGAGAGAGAGAGAGAGAGAGAGAGAATATTCCAGACACTTTTCATCTCAACACTGAGCAGACAGAGATAGGAAGAGATCTCTGTTAATTCAAGGCTAGCCTTGACTACATAGCAAGTTCCAGGACAGTAAGAGTTACTTAGTGAGATCCTGTCTCAAAAACAAAGCCAACAACAACAAAAACATTGGCATCTTTCAGATAATTGAAAGAAGTTGGGTTTTTTTCTTATCCGATTCTAAAAAGTAAATGGCTAGTGTCGGCTGCTGAAGCAGTAAGCCTATACCTGCTATGACAGGAGATAATCACGTCCCTGACAGGCGAGTCTACACAGGGGTGAGTGGGAGAAGTGGGCTTCTTGCAGCTCCCTGTGGCTTTCCACAGTTACCCACCCTTCAGATTCTCGAAACCACAGTCGCCCCACCCCCACCCCAGCTTGCTCACAAATGCTCACTGGCTGACCTTCGGTGTTAAAATCCTGTTTCCTCATGCCTCACGCCCCTCCCTGCCCCTCGGCAACCCGCCCTCTCGACACAGGCACCAGACCAGAGCAGCCAATGACCTTACGTTGTAATAGTTTGGGCCAGGGGTTTCAGATTTGACCACTTTCATGAAGCACGGCAGCTGGAACATGCTGGAACAGGAATTGCTGAAGTCCTTCTTGGAAGCCAACTCTGACCGGATGGTATATGCATTTGCAGCAGGATTTTTAGAAATGACGGGGCCCAGCCGGGCACACTGAGGAAAAAAGAGGAGAATTAGCATTGCCAAGTGACCAGGGGCTGTGAAGGACAGGTCAAAAGCAAAAGCCCCGGCTCCCAGCCCACTGTTGTTTGACTGTTGGTTTGCTTGTTTATCCGATTATTTGTTGAGGCAGGGCCTCAGTCTGTAGCCCATGCTGGCCTAGAGCTTACTGTATATAGCTCAGGCTAGCCTCAGACTTGCAGCAGGCTAGCTTCAGATTTGCAGCCTTCCTCCTGCCTGGCTTTGGGAGTGTCAGAGTGCTGGTCACTAGCCACCATGCCCAGCTTACAAGCATGTTTTTCCTTAAGAGGTGAGACTGTAGCAAGTGCCAGTGGTAATCGGACCTCAAGCACTTGGGAAATGCAAGTTCAGACCCGTTCTGACTTCTGTAAACTAACTCAAAGTATTCGTCACTTGTTTGGGACCTGGAGAGAGTGATTTTCCCGGCATCGCATTTCCACGGTGTCCTGGGCCCCACCACTATGCCTGCCTCGTGAGCTGTGGGGCGACTCCTGTGACAGGAAAGGCAAGCCAGCTCTCCATGGTGTTTTTCAGGGAGCTGCTTCTGGGAGGGCCACGGAGGCTCAGAGAAGGCCGCTCGCTCATGCCTCCTCTCCCTACTGTGTTCTTGCCAGGTGCAGTGGCACACACATGTGGCTCAGGATTCAGAAGGCAGAGACAGGATGACGGCAAATTGTAGGCCAGCCTGAGCTACACAGTGAGACAGTGTCTCAAAAATAAATAAATAAATAAATAAATATCACCCAGAGCAACAGCAAATCACTGCATCAGTAAAACCCTAAAATACTTGTGTTTCAACAGAACCGATTCCAGCCCTTTCCGGAAAGCACAATAAAGTATTTTCAGTTCAAAACCAAACACAGTCAGTGTTTGCCAAACGAATGGAGGCAAAAGCCATAGAAACACGATGATAACATCTCGCTACCCTATGATAGCACGGCTGGAATTAGCGTCTGATAAAACAAGAAAGTTCCCATAATTTTATGATGAAAAGCTTGGGACGGCTGCCGTGGGGTTTCTCCACTCAGTGGAGGTCAATAACCCCACAGGCACAGGGAGCTGAGCCATTCCCTCACCTGCTTTGAGAGGGCTGGCGTGGATGGCTCTCTATGGGAGTAGGGGTTTCAGCAGAAGCAGGGCTGTGCTAATCTGGATTCTAATCCGGATTCAAACCTAAAGTCTAGCTGCAACACTCCTCGGTGTTCTCGGCAGCAAAGACTAAGCCACCAGCAGCAGCCTTTGGTTTTTGACCAATCATTTACCAAGAAACTCAGCTCTGCTAACAAAGTGGTGTGGGACCAACATGGTCAGCCAGGCAGTTTGCCTCCACCTGGTGACCAAGATCAGACATGACGTTCAAAAGAGAAATGGCCCTAGAGAAATATCGAGCGTTTCTTTCCCACCCTGTTATCTTTCTTGCCTTCAGAGACTTACTGCTTTTGTGTTTGGGGGTTGGGGTGGGGTGTTCTAGAAACTTCCCAGTGATGCCGAGTTCTCTGAGGCACCATAACAGGATTAGTGTTGGCAGTATCCACTCTGCACCCTGCATTTATCTGCCAGGCCTGTGGTCTCCAATTGGCCCCATGCTGGCACTCAAGAACTTCTCCTGAGACATACGAGTTCGGTCCATTGTGCAGCGGCAACCCAGAAAGGCCACCAAAGTCCCCACCCATCTGCCTCATTTAGCTTCCTGGTCAGAGTTGTAGAAGACTCTAGAATAAAAACTCAGAGTACCTTAATGAAGTGCTTTATATCATTTGAACTTTGAGGGATGACAAGTCTTCTCAAAAGGCTGGGTGTTGTCGCCTTGACAGTCATGAGGAAGTGTGTAGAATTTATAAGCCCATGGACATTTTGGGGCGGCCTCGCCCTAAACACATTCCTCCTGGGCTCTTATGATCTCTCTCTGGGGCAGGAGGCTTGAATTCCCTGAGGCTCGGATCCACAAGTCGGGAAGAGGCTCTCTGTCTCTCATCCAGGTTGGTCAGGGTGGGGCTACAGTCAGGTATTACAAACCCTTAGAACCCCCTTCCCAAAGAGAAAGGAACGCAAGTGTTTACAGGTATAAAGCTGGAGTTCGGGGGATGCCTCCGACATCCTAGCACTTTCAGGAGAGCACTTGGATTCTACTCCTGGCACCCACATCAAGCATCCAGTCTCTAGGGACCTGGTACCCTCTGCTGGCTTCTGCAGGTACCTGCAGCTCCTGTGTATTAGCCCCTACCCGGCACACATAATTAAAAATAAGCCTTGTATTTTTAGTTTTTTTCTTTTTTTTCTTTTTTTTTTTTTTTTTTTACGTTTTTCGAGACAAGGTCTCCTGGCTGTCCTGGAACTCACTCTGTAGACCAGGCTGGCCTCGAACTCAGAAATCTGCCTGCCTCTGCCTCTGCCTCCCAAGTGCTGGGATTAAAGGTGTGTGCAACCACTGCCCGATTTACAAGCATTGTATTTAAAACAAAAAATATAAAGCTGAATCTTAGGACCATCGAAGGGAGAAAAGGCCCTCATCTCCTTTCTTCTGGGTCATTTTTTTAAAGAGGTGAAAGGCCTGTTTGGATTCTGGAACATCAGACCTTTCTGTGCCTTCTCTCTTAGATGGATAGTTGAACCACTCAAAAGTCACGGCCAGTGGAACCTGGCAAAGGCCTGATCCACTGTGTCACTGATCCAGCCCCTTCATGGTGGTGTGGCAGTGCACGGTCTGGTAAAGGCTTCTCAGAGAGAAGCCAGGCGCTTTGAGCACTCTGAAGGGTGACTTGGGTACTGACAGAGCTAGCTCCTGCTTGTTTACACTGTTCCGCGATTTCAAAGTCTTTCTCATTGCAATTTGCTCAGAGCCTCCAGGTAGTCGCTGAGGCAACGGGTACATGAAGGCTGACATGCTTGAAATCACGTTCAGGCTCCACAGCTGAGTCAGAATTAGGTCTCCAGGCCTGTGGCCAACGCCGGGGCATCGTGACGCCGGGCATCGTGACGCCGGGCATCGTGACACAGCACCTTGATGGTTGCTTGGGGTCTTTCTCCAGACGCGGAGCTAAAGGCCTGGCTATCCTGTGGCTCTGCTGAGGGCTCTGAGACAGAGAGCCTTCACTTCAAAGTAAGTTTGCTCCTGAACATCCCTCACTGCCAACCCAACCCCCAGCAAGAGGTGGATGCGTTTGGTGGGCCCTAAATGGTCCCTTTGTGTGAGATTAATAAGAAAATTATCCCTGGTGTCAGGCATCGTGTACATCTATGTGAGAGACTGTCATAACCTCTACAGGGACAGGCAGGTACACACGGTCTACTGAGGTCACTCTCTGGCCCTGCTTCCTCCAACGCCTGCTCCACCTCAGGCTTGGCTCTTTCCCTCCTTTGCTTTCCTTAAGGCTGAGGCTGAGTGGTCAGAGCCTTGGGTGCCATCCTCGGCATACACACCAAAACAGAAGATAGCAGAATGAAGTCTTCACCCATGTCTACTCAGGGTCAGAGCTGTTTCATTTATAGGTTTGACCACAAGAATCTTCAACAAAGATAGAGTCCCAGGAAGATTCCTGTATTTCAGGCCCAGTGTAGTGTGTGTTCTCTTCTCCCAATCTCTCTCTCCTCTCTGTCTCTCTGTGTCTGTCTCTCTACCTCTCTCTCTCTACCTCTCTCTGTCTGTCTCTCTGTCTCTGTCTCTCTTTCTTGTGTACATGGACTGTGTTCTCTTTCTGTCTCTGTGTGTCTGTCCGTCTCTCACTCTGTATGTCTGCCTCGCTTGCTCTGTGTATCTGTATGTCTCTCTGTCTCTTCTGTGTGTCACTATGTCTGTCTAGTTTCTGTCTCTGTGTGTGCACATCTGTGTGTGTACATGTGTTTGCCTGTCTCTGTCTTTCTGTGTGTCTCTCTGTCTCTCCCTCTCTGTTTCTCTGTCTCTCTCTCTCTACTATGAGGCAGTGATATCCATGCCCTGAGTCCAGAGAAGAGTATGTGAAGGTCAGAGGTCAGCGCTCTCCTACCACATCAGCAATTCCAACTCTGGCCACCAGCTTTGGCAGGCTGCCTCTTATCCTCCAAGCTGTCAAACTGTCCCCTTAGTGTCTGTTTTGCTCCATCCAAATTCCCAATGATTTGAACAACCCAGTTGTATGAAGCAAGTGTCAAAAATCATTTTCCTTTCAGGGCAAGACACAGCAGTTTCCCTGGCAAGCCTCACAGCGTCAGGAAGACACCTGCTTCTCTCGCTGGGCCACCAAGGCCTAGTTTCTCTTCCTACCTCGTCCGCAGGCATCCATGGAGATGAACGGCATAAGGTCACGGGGTCAGATTTACCTTTGTGAAATCGCAGGAAGTGGTTGCTGTCTTAATCAGGACAGGGATGATTGGAGAGAAAGGAACAGCTGTCCAACGTGTCATTATGTGGTAAACAGGGGACATTACTGACTGGTCAACACCCCGGGGCTCTCACCGTGGAGGGAAAAGTGCAGGTTCCTCTCTTGGAAAGAGAGACACTGTTGAACACTGGAGACTGGTGGATGACATTGTAGAACCCAGGGCCCGGGATGTCATCCTGAGAAGGACAAGAATGCAGTGTCACTGGGCATGGCAACTTGAACATCAGCCTTCCATCCATTAGCGCTAAGCCTCCCTCTAATCCTCCAGGGCTGGCTGCACCATAACAGAGGTGACAGCCTGGCTTCCTGTTTCTCTAACTTGCCCAATATCTACCTCAGTGACCAATGGGAGGGGCCTGAATTCTAATGTAGGTCGGGTCTCCCAAATCCCTTGCTCTTCCCAGAGTTGCCATCTTGAGTTCTAAGGCAACACTGCTTTGGGGAGCTTTTGTTTTTTCATGTCATCAGGGAAATGTACTGGTGTGCACGTCAGCCTTCGTGGACTGGGTCAGCCAAGCCTGAGGTAAGGGGAGGGTGGCCAATTTTACGGTAACCACACCCCACCTGACTCAGCTTCCTCCTGAGGCCTCTAAGAAGGGAAATTGGGGAGTGTTTCTGTTTATAAAGCAAAAGGAAACAAAAACAATCTTCATTGCAAATGAGGCCATCTTGAACTTGGAGACAAAATGAGGCCCACATGGGACCCGAGGGCAACTTGAGGCTGGGATACTAGGGAACAGGCAGCAGAAGCCGTGCTCAGAGCCAGCTCTGCTGCTGCTGCAAGCTGCGTGAGTTTCCAGAAGCCTCCAGCTCCTTTCTGGTGCTAGCTACTAAGGGGACACCAGTGTTGACAAAAGCCATAGGAGCAAGTGACTTGAGGAGGTGCTTCACTGTCACGGGGAGCTTCCTGGTCCTGCCCGCCGCTGGGAGCTGTTCAAAGCTAATCTCATTTTCACCATCACCTGATGAGGAAGGGATTACAGTCCCCGAGTCACAAAGGAGGCACATGCAGGTGAATTTGTTCAAAGTCCAAATGCTGACTACATGGTGTATGCTCTCGGAAGTGGACCTGTCACCAAAGCCACCTAAAAAACCAGAAGCCAAGCATGTGGGGCCACAGGCAGTAAGCAGATTTGAGCAGTGGACCCTGATTGCAGAGTTTTTAGCGCACTCTGTAACCCCAGATACATCCTAACTTTCCTGTCCTGGCTGCCTCATCCAGGTGGGGAGCTTGATGTACCACTGGTGCCTTCCAGAACTTTCCAATCTAGAAAGTGAGGACAGAGTGACTGGAGTTTATTATAAAAAGAGAGGCAAAGGTGCTGTTAGCAGGATCCTAGGACAAATGTGTGGCATACACACATATACACAAATGGACACATTCATATATACACACACATATATACAAATGGATACACTACACTCACACACACCACACACATACACACATGCTCACACACAACTCACACACACACTCACACACATACACACACACATACACTCTCACACACATATATACTCTCACACACACTCACATACACACATACACACTACACACACAGATGAGACATACACACACACTCACACACACATATATACACACTCACACACATACCACACATACCCACACCACACACACACATATACTCACACACACATACACACTACACACACAGGTGAGACACACACATAGGTGAGACACACACACACACGCACACACACACAAACACACAAGGCAGACAGTGAGAAGAAGAGTAGAGGGTTCAGCCTCCCGGGCCTAGGGTCAGAAGCAAGGTATTACAGGTGAGTTTCCCAGGGTGCGGTTTGCACATGTTCCCCAGTAGCACACTGAGACTTCACAATGTCTGGCTCACTGAGAAGGTGGGGTCAAGAGAGAGATGGGCTAACGTTGCACAACAGGCAAAGACCTAGACAGTCTCAGGAGAGTGTCTTCTAGCCACGGGCACCCACCGCCTCTCAGATGAGGCTGTAAGGAAAAATCCTTTCCCGGCGCTGTGAACTGGAAAGTCTGTTTTCAGTGCTAGTCAGCTTCATGATGTTGAGCCTCGCTTCACTGGGCCTCAGTTTCCTCATCTATACATCTAAGGAGCTGGGATCCTCGTGGGGCTCCAGGGTCCCCATCTGCAGCAGGAGTTGTAGTGCTACTAACTACAATGGTGATGTATGTAACTGTTTTGTCTGCCTGTATATACGTGAAACACGTGTGTGCCTGGGTGCCAACGGAGGCCAGAAGAAGGTACTGGGTCCCTGGAACTGGAATTATAAACAGTTGTGAGCTGCCAGCTAGACACTAGGAATTGAACCCAGGTCTTCTGCAAGAGCAAGTGCTCTAACTGCTAGACCATCTCTCCAGGCCCTGATATGTGATCTCATAGGTACAAACAGTGGGCGGGGAAGATATCTCTCGAGCTCCTGGTCTATCTGCACACGCCTACCGCTCTGTCTCCATCTACCCAGTTAAATTAGAATCACAAACAGCAACTAGCTGTTGTTGCTTACGTACAGCCCATGAAGTATTTGGGACATACTTGTGCTAAAAATAATTACCTATTTGCCATTCAAATGTATCCAAGCACCTGTATTTGTCTTTGCTAAATCTGGCAACTTTACTGGACATCCGTCAACTGGGTCAGACTATAAAACGGCTATGGTCCAGAGCAAATGGGGACAGGGCTGTCACCGTTTAGCCTGTGGGGACGAAATTTACTCTTGATGAAGGTCCAAGAGAGAATGTTTTGGGCTGAAGCGTGCTGGAGCTGGCCTGCAAAGGGGGCCATTAGAACCCTGACAGTGGTCATTGACATCGGCTGCTGTAGGAATACTTACAGTGCAGAAACCAGCCAAGGCTACAGTGGAGGGAAGAGCTGGATTACCTTCTCAAAATTGGACCACAAAACAACCAGGGAGACTCCACAGGCACAGAGAAAGAACCGATATGCAAAGGGCTTTTGGGAAGCCTGCCGGAAGTAGAGCAGGACTCATCCATCCCCTTGGTCTCTTAGATGAGACATCTCAGAAGGCAAAACCCAAATCATCAGAATAGAAGTAACTGCCCACACAGCCCCAGAGCCACGGAGCCAGGGCAACCTGTGGGCATGGGACCAAGCAAGCAATGTGTGGTAGGTGTGTTCTCCTCCTCCCAGCCAACACACACCTTGGGTGACACTTGGGGGAGAAGCACACAGAGCACTCATTGGACTGGCAGTCTCTCAGGTGTTAGGAGTGGCAGATGATCCCTATCCACCTGGCCTTGGGATGAGCCTGAAGATGTCATGAGGGAGCCGGCAGTCAGACCCTGGGCCTGGGTGTCTTCCCAGGCTTGTGGGGAAGGTCCTACTGCAGAGCCTAGAGCCAAGCATGGCTTCCTCCTACGTACTGGGGTTTCCTTATAATATCATAAATTCTGTCTGAGTTCCTCTGTAACCTTAATTGGTTTCATCACAATGTAAACTCTGGTTTCTGACTGGAAGGGTAGATCTCCTGTCAGACCCTGTGTGGAACTACCAAGTGAGTTGGCTAACTAGTTTGTTTCTGAAGTGCTTTTCTATATCCTGGGCTGGATTTCAACTCACCATATAACCAAGGATGCCTGTGAGCTGCTGACTGTCCTGTCTTGGCTTCCCAGGTGCTAGAACTGCAGGCATGGGGAAGTACACTCAGTTTCATCATGCATTTGGTGAGCTACCATATGGGTGCTGGGAATCGAACCCAGCTCTTCTATAATGGCCACAAATGCTCTAAACCACTGAGCCACATCTCCAGCCCTTTAACCATGGGACTTAAGTGTCTCCCACTTGGAAGACACGTTGTCTCTGTCCTACCAGTACCTGTTCATTCAAGTGGAAGGCATCGGGTTTGGCATCCTGCAATCGTCACCCCCAGGAAGAGCTAATCTAGTGTAACATCCTAATTTTTAAGGGAAAGAACCAGACACAGGTGGTGCCCTTACAGCTACTTAGCTTGGGAAACTGAGGTATGATGGAGCAGAAGCTGGGTGACAGGGAAGGAAACGTCCAGTGGGCTGTCACCTCGAGGTATATCTCCTCGTGAATGTTAAGTTAGCTACACGTTTGTAAACAATCATAAAGTTTACTCCTGGCAATCCAAATGGCCAGTTTAGACACGACCCTCATCCTCCCCATGGTAAGACTAAAGAAAAAAATCTTGCTGGTAGTGACAGAATCCTTTGATCCTAGCAGAGGCAGGTAGATCTCTGTGAGTTCCAGGCTAGCCTGGTCTACAGAGGAAGTTCCAGGAGGGCCAGAGCTACACAAAGAGATCCTGTCTCAAAAAGAAAAAAAAAAGTGTCAGGGGAACACACATGAGCCATAGCTTGAGAGCAGAGTCAGAGGACAACCCGAGGAAGTCAGTTCTGGAAGTGGGTTCCTTTAACACCGCCCCCAGCTATCACACTGGCACCCCAGGAGTGGGATTATTACAGGGACTGTAAACTGGGTCTGAGGTTCAGCTGCAGCAAAGGTGAGTGCCTGCCTTGGAGGGCGCCATGTTAAAGCAGGGCTAAGTGGGTCACTGCTCCAAGGTGAGCAGCCGACCGGGTGTGGGCTCAGCACAGGGCGTGTGTGGCTCCTGTCTTAAGCAGGGGAGGTTTCACATCTGTTGTTAACTCGAGTTGCCTCACTAAATTACTGGGTGATGGCTCACAATCGTGTTGCTTCTCTGTGCCCATTTCCCCCCAGGAAATATGAGATGGGCGCAGAGCGTGGAATGAGTGGGTTCTCTGAGCTTAGGATGTGGGGATTTATATAACTCCTCACTAATTATGCAATCCTAACTTTCATGTTGCAGACGAGGAAACCATGTCCACAAAGGACAAGTGGCCACTCTCAAGGCTCCTGGGTAGAGACAGGGAACACAGGGACCCCCATGGTAGAGATGCCATGCTTCTGCAAAATAAAAAATGCTGTCAAAGGCATAGATGAAAGGCTTCCCATCAAATGGATGGCACCACACTGGAAAATTTGGAACCAAACTTCTGAGTGGTTTCTGCCTGTATCTGATGCTACCATGCATTTCTGACTGGTGGCCATGCTGGCACCTCTGGGCAGGCGACAAGATAGGATTCCACGGGGTACTTTCAGCTCCTGGATCAGAGTCTTCAGAGCTTATCGTGTGGGATGGAGCCCTGGCAAGGAGCACTTATTGCCCTCCCTGGAGATCGGTCTGTTTTGCCAAGATTGTTCCAGAAGCATGCAACTTTCATCGACCAAATGTACAGCCTCGAAGGCCACAAAGGCAGGCGTGGCTCGGTGTGGAAACAGTGAGAGGTTCAGGAGTAAGCTGTGCCTGGGTTGAGGCCTAATTCTTTCAACGTTGATTCAGCAAATATTTACTTAGAGCCTCTTATGTGGCAAACCCCGGGCTGTGTGACCCAGGGTGGGTCACTGCCTCCCTAAGCCTCCTTTGCCTCTTATGTTAAATGGAGAACTAAACCCTTTCTTCTAGTATTGTTCTGGGGGAGCGGTGATACGATCTAAAAATGCTTTAACACATATTAGGGAGGGCTGGCGACAGCTACTATTCTTTTTATTGGAAACTGAGCTGCAAACACCCTGGACAAGGACAACTTACACACTGTCATTAAAGCGGATCAAGGGGAACCCACACAGCAAGTGGGGAGAGAGCCTGATAGCTAAAACACAGAGAAACTAGAGAAGACAGACAGACAGACAGACAGACAGACAGAAAGAAAGAAAGAAAGAAAGAAAGAAAGAAAGAAAGAAAGATATGAAAATTGCCAAAGCAAGTTTTTATCATCCTGAGGAAAGCCACCTGTGATTTTAAAATGTGTGTGTGCTGTGGTACTTAGTGCCAGCTTCATAGAATCCGGAGGTAATCAGGCTAAAAGAACGAAATCTTCTCTATAGTTCCAAGGCCCAGCTCACAACGGAAGAGCCAGGCCTGGGGTTGCAGGCCTTGCCAGGTCTCCTCACCTGTGTTCCCAGCCCAGGGTCTCCTGCCCCTACCCCGCTGCCTTCTGGGGGGAGGGGGGAGGGTGACAGCCACCTGCAGAGTGCGGCAGGAGGTAACCAGGACGACCACTGCTTCAGATGAATGCTACTGTCAGGGTCCTACTGAAAAGAATGAGGGATGTGGGGATGCCTTGAGTTGCTACTGCCCCCTGCTGGTGAGAAAGAAGATCACTGCTCAGGAATAAGTTAAATAAAGGCTTGCCAGCAAACACCCAGAACTTTAGGGGCTTGGAGATCTAGAGAAAAGGGGGTTGGATGGAGACAGCACAGGTATAGCATTATTTTTTAATTGCATCTATGTATTTACTTGTTCGTACATACATGGCATACACCAGGAGGTCAGAGGACAACTATTGAAAGAGTTGGCTTCTCTCCACCAAGTGGGATCAAGGCTAAGCAATCTTACCAGCCCCCGGAATAATAACCAGACACTGTTTAAGGAATCTATTAAATAGGGGAGCTCATTTCTAATACAACTATAAATTTATTAGAACCTTGTTTTCTCACATGTTATCTGGAGGAATTTTGTAATTCCCTCTGATGGATCAGAGTGGGGTGGTTTTTATCTTCTACTATATATGCGTAGGTTTGGAAGAGTCCGTATTTTTAGTCTTTTCAAAATAAAGATAATTTCGGCTACAGGGTGTGGAGGCAAATTTCGATTCAGGTATACAGGTGGCCAAGGAAAGGGGACCCTGAGTACAAAGCTAGCTCGGCTATCCAGCAAGACCCCTAGTTATGTTTCCGAAGCACATACTATGTATAAAATCTTGGGGTAATCCCCAACACAACAAATAAGTCAATCAATTGATCTAATGACCAATCAGTCAGTCAATCCATCAATTTCAGGCTTGTTCTTACCATACAGACCATGTGCCTCCTTGGAGGATGGTACAGCCCCTTGGGTGATACTGCCCTCTGCTGTTCATAGAGAAACGCAACAGCTAAAACCCAAGCAAAGAATTTTGAAGGCAACTGCCATTTATTTACCTTTTTGCTATAAAATCTCCTGGCTTGGCTGTTAAATCCCTTTTTTTCTGATTCTGGGATTATTGACGTCCTGCATCTATAAGGGATGGAGGATGGAGTTGGGTATGCAGCGGTAAAACCTAAACAACAACAACGAAAACATCCATTAGCGCCACACGGCCAGTCTTGGCTCAACGCAACCCATAGGAAAACTGTGGAATCATCCTAGGCGGAGAGTGTAGCTCAGTTGGTAGACAGCGCATGCGCACGTCGTGGTTCCATCCCCAGTGCCACAGAGAACCAGGTGTGAGGTTCACACCCTTACTTGCTGCGCTCAGGAGGAGGAGGGATTAGAAAGCCAAGGTCACCTTTGGCTACATATTAAGTATAAGACCAGGCTGGAATATACAAGACACTGTTTCAAACATAAACAAATAGCCAAGTGAATAGCTATCTTAGTGAGTGAACAAAGAAGAAAACAAAGTAGCCAGTCCCCCGCAGGGGCTGTGAGGTGTGAGGTGCAGCGGTCTGCCCACCTTTGTGACTCCAGAAGATACAACCTTTCCTTTTGTTTTGTGTTTTCTCTTGGATGCTGGCTAGAACCAGAGGATGTTTATGTTGGCAGTTGAGACTTCCTTACTCTTGCTCTCCCCCCCCACGCCCCCCATCCCCACGTGTGGCTGTCTGATAACACTTAGCCGAACTCCACGGCCAGTGTGGCGCTTTCTCCTTTTCTCCCTTCTCCCGGCAGCTGTTTAGATTTACAGCTTGGCTGCTCTGTTTTCTTCTCTCTTTAAAGCAAAAACTGTCCTCTTTGAATTAAAAACAAACATTCAATACAGGGTCAAAGGATGGCTCAGTGGGCAAGGGCTCTTGTTGCCAAGCCTGATCCGCTGAATTCAATCCCAAGATCTCCATAGTGGAAGGAGAGAACTAATCCCCAAAAGTTGTTCTGTTGTCTTCCACATGTGCTCCATAGCATGCAGGTACAAAAACGTATAGTTTGGGAAAATTAAAATAGAGACTGAAGAGGAGGCTCCAAGGTTAAGAGCACACGCTGCCCTTCCAAAGGACCCAGGTTCAATTCCCAACACCCATTTGGCAGTTCACAACCATCTGTAACTAAAGTTCCAGGGGATCCAAAACCCTCTTCTGGCCTCTTCAACCACTGCATGCACATGGTGTGCAGACTCAAACATATAAAAATAAAATGTTTTAAAATTAAAGTAGTCAATACAAAAAATGAACAAATAAAGAATAGGCAGATAGGGCAGACAGTAAATCACAAACTGGCACACTTACACTTAACACAGTCATAACCACACTAAATGTTAATGGTCTACACATTCCAGTTAGAAGACAGGGATTGTCAGACTGAGTAAGAAAGAAAGACCCAGCTGGATGCTGCTACAAAAAAAAACACATTTCAATTACAGAGCCAGAAAAAAAAAAGTAAGAAGAAAGGAAACTTGCAATAAGAACTTAGTTGTCAGAAATAAAACAAGACCTGTTACACATTTAAAACTGAAGGACAGGGTTCTGGCTGATCATAAAAATATATAAAATATATAAATAAAAATAGCATGTTGTTTTTTTGCTGCTGTTGAAGGGAGAGACCCCCACCCCACCCCATTCATTCTTTCCAGTGTTTTTTCCCATCTACACGCTAGGGTCAGCAAGGATGGACTTGTGGCCGGCACCAGGATTTACTAACCGCTGCACCTGTGCTCTCGGGTACTGGAGTGGACATGTTGTAATTTAAATTCACCTTTCTGTACATTGTTGTCATACTTGTTAGATCTGCCAAGGTCTTCTCTCAGGAGAAGGTTGTCCACATTAGAAAATTTCTGGGACATGTTCTGTCTGTTTGAGGAGAACCACAGCTTCACGTCCTTCTAAATACCTGAAATAAGATACAGCATTTGCAGGGGCCATTTTACCCTACGGGTGACTCTGTGCTAATGGTGGGTTAAGTTGAGAAATCTTGTGGGGCAGTAGTCCACCAACTGCTGGGATGTCCCAGGTTTCAAGCACACAGTAGTGCCAGAATTAAGGAGGTTACCCAAGGTCACCATCACTGCTGGATGTGGCTATGGAGACTTTAGATCTTATTTTCATTATTATCTTACTTAGCTTGGCTGAGATATAATTTACATACAGTACAATTCATCAGCCGTAAAGGTATGAGCCTTGACAGTGTGTACAGTTGGGTTATATACCACCATGGCTAAGATATTAAGGTGATCTGTATGCCACAAAGTTGTCATGTGCTTTTGCAGTCTTTTCTCTCAGGAACTGGTTTCTGCCAGTTTCTGTGCTTCCTGTCACAATGGCTGCCTTTCCACATAGCTGCACAAATGTGACCATCAGCTGATCAAGTGCTACTGACCCAATCCTCCTGGGGCTGGGGGACAGCTCAGTGGTTAAGAGCATCCACTGCTCTTGCAAAGGACTTTGGTTTAGTTTCCAAGACCCACACATAGAGAAGTTCAAACCGCCTAGAATTCCAGCTGCAAAGAATCGGATGCCCTTTTCTGGCCTCCACAGGCACCTGCACACTTCATATGTGTAAACACACACACACACGCAATATACACACAGACACACTTCTAGAAAGAAAAGGTTATTTGTTTTTTGTTTGTTTTTTTTTAAATCTAGATTTTGATTGAGATAGCATCAAAAATTCCATGAGACTATCTTAGTTTCGTTGAGGGTTAAGATCCACTGATAAGGCAGACCTCTCGTTCATTTTGACCTATTTACATTTCTCAGCACTAGCTTGTACTTATGAACGTATAGCTAGTGCACATATTTGTGAGCCTCTGTGAGAGAGGGACATGCATGTGCCACACTCCACACTGAAGGTCAGAGGACAGCCTTAGGTATTAGTCCCCGCCTTCCGCCTTGCTTACTGTGTCTGGCTTTTCATGGGTTCTGGGGATTCTAACTCAGGGCCCCGCCGGAGACTGTCTTATGAGCCATCTCCCCATCTCAACACAGAGTTTCTTAAATGGAACCCTAAGGGTTTCATATTCCTATGTCATGAAAATGGACTCTTAAATTTTAAAAGTTTTGACATGAGGCTCGGTGCTGGAGATTGGAGCCGAGAGTGATACCAGGCAAGCAGTCTACCCGAGTGCATCCCCAGCTGTCTGTTTCTAGTTCTCCATTTCTGATCATTTTTATATATTGATCCTGTGTTCTCCAACTTAGCCTCATTTTTTGCTTCTAAAAGCTTCCCTCCAGATTAAGAATTCTAATAGAGGTAACCGTCTGTACATAAAAGACCGGGGTTATTCCCTCTTTTTCTAACAGATGGCTGTTACTTTTTTCCCTTGTAGCATTGCAATGCCTGGGATACCCAAAGCCACCCTGAATGTAGCTGACGAGAGCAGATATTTATCTTAATACCTGCTTGAGTAGGGACACGCACGCACACACACACACACACACACACACACACACACACACACAGAGCCCTTCTGCATTAAGTATGATGTTACTTAAAAGGTGGTTTTTTTGTTTTTGGTTCGGTTAGTTGATTTTGGAGACAAGGTCTCCTTATATATTAATAGCCCAGGCTGGCCTAGAACCTGTGATCCTCCTGCCTCAACCTCCTGAGTGCTGGGAATGAAGGTGTATACCAGCACATTTGGCTCTAGGAAGTTTTTCTTTTTAATAGAAGATACTTTTCATTTTTAATCCTAATTTCCTACAAGTCTTTTTCCTGTGTAGTACCAGATATTGAATTTGATGAAATTCTTCATCTTTGTCTGTACACCTGACCCTGTCATTATTCTTTGTGGGTATATTAACTGACTTACACTAATTAAACTTTTTTTAGAATTTCTGTAATCAGTGCTACTTGGTTGCAATGTAGACTTCCAGACCTTGTACATGACAACTAAATGGTAGCTTTCTTCTATTCTTTTTAAAATGTCTTTGCTTTTGTTTCATAAACTGAGTTTAAACTTAAGTATTTTTTCCATTATTTATTCATTTATGTGTCTGTGCATGCACATGTGGAGGCCGAAAGGCAGTTTAAGGGAGCCCACTTTCTTGTTTTACCTATGGTTCCCTGGGATTGAACTCAAGTCGCCAGGCTTGGCAGCAAGCACCTTTCCCTGCTGAGCCGTCTCGTCTACCCTGCTTCTCTTTTTATTTCCTGGTATTGGCATTATTCTCAAGTGTTGGCTTAGGAATCAGATCAATTCTTCTTTCCATTCACAGATGAAGTCAAGGCCTGATGTTGAGGGAAGGTTCTCAACGAGGGAAGGTTGTGTAACTTAGTGCTTCTCCTTGAGGGTGCTTTGGTAATGAACACATTTCAAAGAAATGTCTTCTTTTCCTTTCCACGAGGTTCATTAGCATAACATTGTTCATAAGGGTCTTTGATTTTCCTTGTTTGTTTGGGGACAGGGTCTAGCTAGGTAGCTTTGCTATGCAGACCAGCTTTCCTGAGCCTCAAGGACTCGGTTTAAATGTGTGTATTACCACACCTGGCCAAACTGTCCTCCTAATATCTATGGATGTGTGTGTCCCTCCTTTATTCCTTACACTAATAATTTACATTTTGTAGGCTTTTGTTGACAGGTCTACCAGAGCTTTACTAACCATCTTTTCAAAAGTAAACAGCTTTGCCACGCCTCTCTTCCTGTGGGTTCCACGTACTTTTTTTTCCTCCTCTTCCTCCTCCTCTTCCTCCTCTTCCTCCTCCTCCTCCTCCACCTCCTCCTCTTCCTCTTCCTCCTCTCTTAGAAGAAAGCCTGGACCACTAAACTCAGAGCTCTCTTACCACTTAGTATAAAACCAATATCTTAGCCTTAAATATGTCCATTGGTACCGTCTTCCCGGCATCTCATATATTTGGATGTGTTACATTTTTATTTTTCTTCTCATTTTACACCATTAACCCCAGTCACTTCTTTTTGAAAAGTGGAAGTCGGTTAATTAATTTCCAAGCCGTTGAAAGAATTTCCCAGACTTCTTCCTGATGGTTTTGAGTTTTCCTGTGTTGTATCACACACGCACCAACCTGGCAGAACTGCTCAGCATTGGAGTGCAAGCCTGTTGTGCCAGATTTCCCAACAAGTCTGGAAGTGCAAAGGGATCTGCTGAGCCCCCCCCCCCCACGTTACCGTTGGCTCCTCTTCCTCTTTATTTCTGGCATTCTCCCTTGTGTTCCTTGTATGTTGAAATGCTGTTAGGGATACCTGCACACAGTTTTGAAATGTCTCTCTTTAGCCCCAGTAATATTCCTGTTCTGTCTTATTAACATTTTTTTTAATATTTCTTATTAATATGTCCCCTCCAGCTGTCTTTTGATTACTGTTAATATCTATACCCTTTCCCAGACTTTTTTTTTAACCAACTCTTCCTTCCTATTTAAAGGTAGTTTTTTTCTTTTTCTTTTCTTTCTTTTTCTTTTTTTTTAAAAAAACAAAAACAAAAACAAAAAAAAAACCCTGAAGATCAAACCTAGGATTGTGCAGTGAGTTATAACCCCAGCCCTAAAGGTGGTTTTCTGTTGTTTTGATTCTGAAGTCTGAACTCAGGACTTGAGAGCACACTAGACATCAGCTCTGCACGCTGCAGCCTACCTCCTGACCCCCACGGTTAGAGAGAGGCTCGCGGTAATTCTTACTGCCCTTCCTCTGCACACTCTGTGCTTTTCTTGTCTTGTTTGAGAACCTGTTTTGCTATTTGAGACAGGAGCATCACTATGTAGTCCTAGCTGGCCTGGAACTCTCTTTATGTAGACTAGGTTGGCCTTGAATTCACAGTTTTTTTTTTTCACACCTAATTTTTGTTTCCTTGTTTTGTTTTAGAGAAAATAGCTCATGATGTATCCCAGGCTAGTCTTGAACTCGCCTCACTTTCTCCAGTAATACGTTTTAAAGAGTGACTGTCGGGCCATGGTGGCACAGGCCTTTAATCCCAGCACTTGGGAGGCAGAGGAAGGCAGATTTCTGAGTTCGAGGCCAGCCTGGTCTACAGAGTGAGTTTCAGGACAGCCAGGGCTATATACAGAGAAACCCTGTCTCGAAAAATCAAAAAAAAAAAAAAAAGTTTTAAAGAGTGCATGACAACAGCTTCCACCTACTTTTTTTGTCGTTTTGTTTGAGGCAGGGGCTCACTACATGGCCCTGGCTATGGAGTCCAGGCTAGCCTCAAACTCATCTCTGCCTACCTCTGCCTCCTGAGTACTGAGATGAAAGGTGTACACCACTACTCCCACCTAGGTGCCTGCTTTGACTTCCTTTCATGATGGTCTGTGATCAGAATGTAAACCCTTTCCTCTCCAGTAGCTTTCAGACATGATCTTTATCACAGCAGTAGAAAGCAAACCAGAACGAAGGCATTTCCTCCATAGGTCCCCCCACCATTGTTCTGCCACCCACAGCTCTGCCCCTCTGCCCCTCATTGATCTAATTTCAATGGTGCCTTGGCATGATTTTCTTCAGGACTTTTAATGTTTGTGATTCACTGTATTTCCTGAAGGTTTATGGTTTCCCATTGGATTCTGAGAACATTTTGCATTCCTTTATTTAAATTAATTTTGCTTATGCTCACTCCTTTTCCAGGATGATGGTTATATGTGTATTGTGTTTTCCTAAAGGTTGCTGAGAGTCTGTCTGTCTTTGAAGCTCACTCACCCTTGTCTAACCTCCATGCTCCAGCAGACAACCTGGATTGTTCCTGCTTCAGACTCACCGAGCTAGTCTCACCTGCGGATCTCATCAACTGTTTTCATTCTAATTGTTATAGAAAGTGGAAATGCCTGGTTTCTTTGGAGACTCAGTTAGGTTATAATGATGTTTTCCTGGGACAGACAGGTGAAAGAATGTTTTGCTGAGGCAGACATAGGTGAAAGGAGATTATATATATATTGCTATAGCAGTCCCATGAAAGGACACATGATGTTCAGAAGGAATATAAAAATGACCTCACAGACAGTGGGAGCTCGAGCAGGGTTGGTTCACCTTGCTCCACCTCCCAGTCTTCACTGAGGACAGGAATATATTGGTTCGCCTTACGTGTTGCTGAGCTTTGCTTGTGGTGACGTCATAGAGAGAAACTCGTCAGAGAACTTCTGGTGAGTTTCCTGCAGTTTTGTGCGGCTTCCCTGGACTCCAGCCTATTATTGAGCCCGGTCATTTCCAGGTGGATCCAGTTGCCACTACTGATTCGTGTGTGGTGTCTGCTAGTGGACTGGACTAAGAACAACAAAGATTGGAATCTCCCCAAAGAACTATTTCTAAACAGATCCACTTCCCCTGCATCCTAATAACCTTTCCTTTCCACTCCCTCTGGTGGGTGCTGGGCCAGAGGGGAGGATGAACTCGAAGTAGGTTGTGAAAAAATATATGCTTACAGTTATATTTTTTCATTTCGTGATGCTACATTGTGACCCGTGTGTGTTGGTGTGTACACATATGCATGTGTGAGTGTGAAACACCACACCGGATGTCTTTCTCCATTCCTCCCTTTCATTTTTGAGACAGGGTCTCACAATGAACCTGGAGCTGACTGATTTGACCTGCTGACCATGGAGTCCCAGGGAGCCTGTTATCTCTATCTCGTCAGAGCAGGGATGTGGGATCTGGGTCTCTGCTTTGTAAAGGAGGACTCTACCCCTTGGTGGAGACAGGCCCTCGTCTCCTCCCTTGATGGTTAATCGAGTGAGACAAGTCTGGGATCTGTCTAGGAGACATCCCTAGGAAGGGGGCGGGTGTTATCAGGTAATATCCACCCCCACCCCCCAGTGCAGTCCCCAGCAGTTGCCATGGGGATCTTCTGGGCAGGACTATTTCCTTTTTTCCCTTTCAGATGCTGTCCAGAGCTCAAGTAAGCTTATAAACTCCCCAATGCTTTGAACTTAATCTTTTTCTAAAGATCGTGTCCTCACCATGGAGCTGGCCTCCCTGCCAGCGTCTCCCCTCCACCCTCCTCCTTCCTCCCAGGCAGTTATGAGGTGTACAGCTCACCCGCCCTGGGCTTCTCCTTTCAAGCTAATATGATTGTCCTTAACTTAGGTTTGAGTTGGTTCTTGGTCCTTCAGCTTCTGTTAGTGTTCCTTCTTAAATTCTTTTATTAATGAAACTGAGAACCCCAAGAGAGGACCCTAACTTTCAAATATCATATGAGGTTCTTCTGGGACTCCTCAAGATGCCCGGTAACACTTCTCTACTACCTTTTATGTCTTTAATCAGCAGAGAAAACTAACCCATCCCTGCACCCTTAGGCAGCATCTCTTATCTGGTTTTAAAAAGACCTTCCCCATCCAGCCTCACGGTGACCATGCTGTCCTTCACCTTTCTGGGGCAGCCTTCTCCAGTCTGTAATGGCTGCTCTGGAGTGTTTTTCTGCTGGTTCTGTAATATCTGCCATCGCATTGACTGCTTTCCTGGTTGGGGTCCATTTCCTGGATCTTTGTGTGAAATCTCTATTCTTTTGTGTTTGCATTCCTTTTCCCTGGCTTGTTTTTGGTAACTTGCAGATTTGACTCCTTCAAGCTCTCAAACTTGGAAAGCTTCAGAGCAGTTTTTATTCTGGAAGTAATTTTTCTTCACTACTAAAGCATGATACTTTATTTTCTTTTAACAGTATCTCTTGTAGCCTGGGCTGGCAAAATCATTAAGGAGCTAAGGATGACCTTGAACTTCTGATCCTTCTGATCCTTCTGTTTGTTTCCACCTCCTGACTGATGGATTACCTGCATACATCACCATCCTTAACCCCTGGATTTAGTACAGGGAATCAAATTCAGGGCTACATGCATGTAAGCTAAGCAAGTACTCTGCCAACTGAGCCTACCCTCAGTCGTTAGGCATGATGCTTGGGTCAAATCATCCTATCTATCCCCTGTCTAACACAGTGACCCTCCATCCTGGCTTATGGGAACATGAAGTATCATTGGCTCTATGATGCTGAGAAATGTCCTGTCTCCTCCTTCCTTGATGGATTCTTCTCATGCTTGGGCAGGTCATTCTGCACCCAACACCCAAAGTGATTTATTCAGATTGCCAGCTTTTTCCTACGCCACCATCTCCTCTGGTATTTTAGATCATAGTCTGGATTCTTTGGCTTCCCTGAACTCTGACCTCCATATCCTTATATCAGGTAGCATTCTATCACTTAAACAAAATATTGGCTTACGGCATTCAGGGTTTCAGTCCCTCATCATTGGTCCCACTGCTCAGTGCCTATGTCAGCACTGACTACAGGAACACAGCATAGTGGAAGTGAGGGTCTCTCCACAGAAGCAAAGAAAAACAGAAAAGGGCTGGGTCCCAATAGCACCTCCAGCAAGACTCACCCAGTGACCTAACTTCCTTCTACTAGTCCCTACCTTCTAAAGGTTCCCCAATCCCCCAGTACCAGTACCACCAAAGACCAGGGACCAAGCTCGAAACAAACAGGCTTTGGGGGCCATCCAAGATACAATCTCTAATGCACTTCAATTCAGAAGGCTAGAGTTTGTTTCCATTGCCCTCCTGCCTGCAGTGCAGTCTGGAAATGACTCTCTCACTAAGCAAGGTAACATCCCTCAGGGACTGCATTATTGGGCCACCTGCTGACTAATATCTAAAGAGTTTTCTAACCTGTGTATTCTGTTTTTGTTTTTTGTTTTTCTTTTTTCCCTTTTTCTTTTAGTTGTCAATAGCATGTACACAGTTTCATCTCCAAAGCAGTTAATTTTTTATGCGCTGACTCTGGATTCATTTTACCCACTCACCCCGAGGAACTCACCCTGTCTGGAAATCCTAGTGAATGGGGGCATTGAGTAAACCATTTTACTTCCATCTAGAACTTTCTTCCTCAATGTGTGTTCCTTGCTGGATTCATCTCCACAAGGGTAATTTGTAGCCTTTTTTTTTAATAATCTAAGATTTTAATATTTAATAATATCATGGGAAACTATGGCTTTAAAACATTATGATATTTCCAAACAGTGATCAATAATGGCCAGAGAATGGTGTCTTTTACTGTCTCTGAAAGCAGCCGGTATTCACTTACCACACTGCGGTGTGACCTTGCTGTTTTAGTAAGAACCATTTTTAGCCCTACCTTTATGGAAGCTGCTGTCTGAGGATCCTGGGAATATGGCTTGTTTGTTATCCGATGAGCACAAAGCCCCGACAGGAACAACAGTAGGAGTTGTAATCCATGCACTTTAGAAGTAGAGGCAAAAGGATCACAAGTTCAAGGATAGCCTGATCTACACACTGAGTTCTAGGCCAGCTTGAACCATATGTCAAGACCCTACCTCAAAAAACAAACAACAACAACAAACCAACAACAACAAAACAGGGCTGGAGAGATGGCTTAGTGGTTAAGAGCATTGGCTGTTTTCCCAGAGGACCTGGGTTCGATTCTAAGCATTCATATGGAGGCTCAAAACCATATGTAGCTCCAGTCTGAGGAGATCCGATGCCCTCCCTCCCCTGGCCTTCACAGGCACCAGGCATGTGCATGGTGGTACAGAAACATACATGCAGACAAAATATCCATAGATATAAAATAATTAAAAAGCTAATTTAAAAAATGACAACAAAAAAATGTTGGGAGTGATGTTTTCCCCTTTAATGGCAGTATGCAGAGGTAGACGGATCTCTGTGAGTCTGAGGCCAGCCTGATCTAAATAGAGCATTCCAGGCTAGCTAGGACTACATAGTGAGACCTTGTAGTTAAAAAAAAAAATTCAGAGAGAATTTTTTTCAGGGGTTAAGAGCCCAATTCCCACGAACATGGCAGCTCACAACTGTTCCAGGGGGAATCCTGTCAGCCTCACAGAGTCATACATGCAGTCAAAACACCAATGTACAGAAAATAAAAAGAAATTTTTTTAAAAAAAATTGCAAGAGATTTTTAAAAAAATATGCTTCTCATGCAAATTATTAAATTTTTGTAAATTTTTAAGAAATTATAAAAATGTCAAGTAGTATATTATCCTGCCACCAAACAGGAACAGAACTCAATCTTGCTTTCCAGTTTCCCACGGAATGCTGGTACCGTTGATAAAGAACAGATATAACCTAGCTCTGGACAGGATGCTGCTGGCCCGGTGAGCCTCCTGCACCCCATGCACCCAATGTGCCATGACGGGTGGTCATGGTCTAGACCCCACTGACTTCCTCCAACTTGAAACATCCCTCCTGGAGGGCAGTGGGAGGCACATGAGGTTCAAAAACTTTTCAAAGCCTCAGGAGAATGACCCATTAGGTATTTTGCTTGGTGAGAGTGTGTCGGAGGCCTACATGGAACTGTACCCACTGGTTAGTGGCTCTGAGAAACCAGTCTCACTCTTTCATTTTATAGATGGCCAAAACGGGGCCCAGAATAAAGAAATCCTGCTGAGGAAGACCCAGAGTCCCAGAAGGGTTCTGTTAGAGCTGGCTCTTGGTGGTCAATCCACTGCCCAGTTCTGATATCCCTCAAAGACTGAAGTAGGGAGTGTCAGATGTCCAACCACTCACGGAGTCCAAGGGGAAGCTCTTTTCAGATTGGTACACTAAGGCTTACACTGACACACTTCCACCCCATGTGGCACCTTCTGGCCCCCGAGGTACCACCCAACTGGGTACAGAGATTCCACACGCACCCGGAGTACGGAGGTCTTAGTGGGTGTCCCATGGAGTGCGCAGAGTCCTCTTCAAGACCTCAAGGACCCGTCTCTTAACAGGAGCTGGTTCCTAACTAGTCAATCTAGCCCTCGGCCGCCCAGTCACTATGGCAACCACTGGCCTAACATTCCAGAGTCCGGAGGCAGGCAACTGGCTAACTCTAGCCAATGGCCTCCTCTGTTTCTTTAACGTGAAAAGCTGTTGACCAATAGTTAGAGCCATTTCGAAAACCAACACCAACAACAACGCTACCAGAATTTTGGGTTTCGGGTTAACAATGCTAGGCAGAACCTGTGGCAGGGAACTATTAGGGTTTTTGTTTCTGAGGGTTATTTTCTTTCTTTCTTTCTTTGTTTAGTTTTTGTTTGGTTGTTGGGTTTGTTTGGTTTGTTGTTTTAGTGACTCGTCGAAGGAATAAACCTGAGCGTTTCTATCCATCCACGCCCTGTATGTGAGAGCAGAAAGGTTGATGACATAATTCCACAGGGCAACCGTGCAGTATTCCAAGAGCCCCTTACCCGTTTCACCGTACCCACAGCGCCTATTTCAGTCAGGCTTAAACCCACCAGTGTCTCCTTTAAATTTATGGGATACTCCCCTGTTATAAACTGTCCCCGGCGCGTTCCTCAGATCACAGCTCCTGCCACCCACACCTCAGGGAAAAAAAAAAAAAAAAAAAAAAAAAAAAAAAAAAAAAGCTCGTTCCGGCCTAGCTAATCTTTGGGCATCTCCTATAATACAATATGGCAGCTCCATCATCTCTCAAATGCTCCCTCCAAGCGCTACCGCCTTTCCAGCGCTGAGGTCTCCCCGATGTCATTTCCAAAACCTGTGTGATCTCAACCTCTCCTCCAGAGGTTGCTGTGAGGCTCGGAACTGAACGGCGCGTCCAGGAAACTAAGCGTGCTGGAAGCTTCCAACGCGCAGGTTCTTGGTCACAGCTGAATCCCTGGGAAACAGCAGCGGGGGACTAGGATGATTGACAGCCTCCCGGGGCTGCCGAGGTGTAGGCGTGCTGGGAAATAAGGACGCCACATAGCCAACAGGTGGGACGCAGGCGCAGGAAAAAAGGGGTACGCACCGTCCCCGAGACACGTCAGGGCTCTGCTGGGCTTAGATATTGGAGCTACCTGACGGAAGCAGCAGGGGCACCGCCCCGGACGGTCGGTGGCAGTTCGGGCAGGCTGCAGGGAACACCAGGCGGGCTGCTCAAGCCTAGCCTACCTGTCCTGCAGGTGGAGGTGAGCAGCCATAACCTGGGGACCAAAGCAGCCCGGACTTCTTCCTTTGGCCGCTAGAGGGGACTCCTCCAGGTGAGTGTCAGGTCTCGGCCCTACGCTTCAAGCGAGCTTGGCGACGCAGCCAATTATTTCAGGATATCCCGCCCATTCCCTCCCGACAGCCACTCGCCTGCGCAGAGGCTTCGCCAGCTCGGGACTGGCAGGCAGTGTAACAAATCAAGTCGCGACCTTTGAAAGCAAAACACTGCAGCCCCTTGACAACTCGGAGGTGGGAAGGGATCCCGGAGGCTGTACCTAGGGGAGGCACGGAGTGTCCGGGTCGCTTCCCTGGAACCTGGGATAGGTGGATCTAGAAGGAACGTCCCGGGTGAGTCACCGTCAGGACTGAGGGAAGGGGGCACTTGAATTCAGGCTTGCTGTTTTAGGAAAAGCAACGCATTTTTAACTATCTAACAGCCCCCTAATATAAATATGGTCTCCCTTGTTGTTGCCAGCCCTTGTCAGTTTGGGTCCTGTTGCCTCCGATTTTTTTTTCTCTTCAATATTTTCAAGGAGGGTGGGCACGGGTTTGCCTTAATGAAGGTGATGCTGGGCGTTACCAGATGAGGAAGTGGAAGGCCAGTACTGCCGACTCCAGCATGCTGGGAATAGCCGGTGCAGCTGGCAGGTGAATGGAGGGAGCTCTGCGCTCAGTATTGAAACAGAGGTGTGTCTCAAAAGCCTCGGGAAAGGAAAGCTTGGCATGAAACCGACGTTCTCTTGTCAAACTGAATCGTCAGGTGGTGACAAGACCTTCATGCATGCGCGCGCGCACACACACACACACACACACACACACCCTTGTTTTAAGTTACAGCCAATGTTATGGCCGCGAGGCTGTTATTCTCGCTGGAAAACTTGCTCGTTGGGATTAATGGAGTAATTCATTTAGATGAGGCCGGGGGGATTGGAGTGGAAGCAGGCACTTGGTGAATTCTCTTGGGTCAGTGACCATGAGCTGTGACTGATTATCAACACTGAGTTGGCTGTGTGCCTCTTGGACATATGTCAGCCTTGGAAAAGTGTTTTGAAACCAACAATAAACCATCACCAGGCCAAAGTGTGAGCCTTATAAGGGAATGCAACTTGCAGAGTCCACGGAGGCTTTTGGGTGATACGACATGCCAGCCCGAGGAGGATCTTCCTCTCTCTGTCTTTGGGTATTCAGAGCTCCGAGGGTTCCCTGGGTAGAGAGGGAAGCTGAAGCTGCTGTTTAAAAGCCAGTGAACTCACACACACACACACACACACACACACACACACACACACGCGCGCGCGGGGGGGGGGGAACTGCTGTCCTCCCTAGCTGGTCCCCAAGGGCTGTTTGCATTTTCTGACATCCTGTGGGTGGGGCTGGATATATCTGTTTGTGGCCATGGGTCCTGAGTAAAGCATTCTGTTTTTAAACCACAATGAACCAGGGGCTTTACATTTGGTCAGGGCGTCTATGCAAGTCACCTTGCCAGGTTCTGACTAGGTTTCCAGGGGACCTGACAGCTGTCTTCAACCCAGGGTGCCCTCAACTCTAGACTGGGAGCAGCCCTAGGTCTCGCCCAGGTAAAAGGAGCCCTAGAACACCCCCATATTAATAGTGTCAAGGCAGAGATACAGACATTTAACACAGAACTGCTTTCACACACATGCAATCTAATCCCAGAGTAATTATGCCTTCCCAATCTTCCCAGAAAAGTGTGGTTTTTCCGTCAGTTCTATATGCATTGGGTCTGACATCAAAAAAACATCTGGGAGGTAAATCGAAGAGTTACCCAGCAAGGGCTTCTTACAGGAATATTGTCTCAAATGACAGCAGCAGCAACAACCTAACTTTAGGCCCTTTGGCAAGGTACAACCTGGGCTGAGAGGTCTTCGTGGCTGTCCTGGTATCTGGGCCTGTCTGTCCTGTGACATCAGTGCATGCTGTTGCTATCCCTGGGTGTAGAACGCGAGGCACAGGGAACTAGAAACTATGGGATACGCATGTTTTTGAAACCTGGACCCTGGTGGTGGTGCACGCCTTTAATCCCAGCACTTGGGAGGCAGAGGCAGGGGGATCTCTGAGTTTGAGAGTTTGAGGCTAGCCTGGTCTACAGAGTGAGTTCCAGGACAGCCAGGGCTACACAGAGAAACCCTGTCTCGAAAAAAAACAAAAAAAAACCAACAAAACAAAACAAAAAAAACCAGAAACCTGGGCCCTCAACTCTTTCTTGGGTCGATGTCTGGGCGATAAGAACATACATGTATGAATGAATTACAGGGTTACACTGGGGAGTAGGGCTACGAGATGGCTTAGTGGGTCAGGGTACTTGTGGTTAAGCTTGATGAGTTGAGTTCAATCCCCAGGACTACTATGTAGGATGGAAAGAACCGGCTCTACAAAGCTGTCTTCTGACAGCCACACATGAGCTATGTCATGCATACGTATGTACATGCATATACACACAATTTTAAAAAATGAGTGTTAGAAATTAAGAACTAAATAAGGTAATACTGTTGCATGTGGCACCCCTTTGCACACCGTATCCCATTGGATTTTTACTGCACCATAGAAACATGAGTCATATTTTACAGCTAAGGAAACTGGCTCAAAAGCTGGGGGTAACCTGGCCTAGGTACGCAAGGTAGCACATGGCAGATCAGAAGCAATCCAAACCATGTTAAGAGGCCAGTGGGATGGGATATCTCAGCAGTGAAGACACCTATCACGCAAGCCTGGTGACCTGAGTTCAATCCCTGACACCCACTGTGGGAGGAGAGGACTGACCCCTTCCACCTCCACAACACACAACAGCCCTCAGACACACACATCCATGACAATGACACATTAATGTTTATAACATGAAACATAGTAAAAACAGTTTGTACAATAGAATATAAATTCATATGATTTTTGTTTGGTGCTTTAGGTGGGGCTATCTTGTTTGGTATGTTTGATTTTTTTTTTTTTTTTTTGGAACCATAAGACGACTGCACGGAACCTTTTAATATGGTACGGTTTCTGCCATGAGCCCTTGGTGCAGATTTACTCTTCTCTGTTTGGGAGGAAAGTATGAGAAACACTGAGGACACCAGTCCAGTTAAGCCAACAGGGTGATTATTATCCCTGTTTCTGCTCAAAGCCACACTTTACCGATAAGATGCTGAATCACCCAGAGCCAAGCTGACGGGGCTTCAGCCCCTCCCCCATGGCAGGTTATCTTCTTATTCTTTCCTTCCTAAGTTGAAACTCTCGTGGTTAGGGGTTTGGTTTGGGTGTTCATTGTTGTTACTGTTGGTTTGGTTTGCTCTAAGACGAGATCTTATTATGTAGCCCAGGCTATCCTGGGATCCTGCGTCAGCCTCCCCTGAGTGCTGGGATTGCAAGCACATGCTGCCAACCTGATGACAGTTCCTATGGGATCTATTGATTCATTGATTTTGGAGACCTGGAGAAGCGGATGTGGATGGAATGCTATTGTGTCCTCAAGCTTATGGAGGAAATGGGAGTTTAAATCAGGATGTAATAGGAGGAAGAAGGGGGACAGGGAATGAGTGTCTAAGGGCCAGGAATAGAGTTTTAGGAAGATCTGAAGCCTGATAACCATGCCGCCATGGTCTCCTTTCGTGTGGCCAGTCGTACTTTGTGGGCAGAGCTTTCTCAGGCAATGAAGTTTGGGTGCCATGTTTCATGTACATGCATTTTTTATGTCTTTCTCCACCACCCAGAGCGTGGCCAGAGTCAGAAGACGCCCCCCTCACCCGTCTGCCTGTGGGAAACAGGAGCAGCTTCCTTCTCGGGGGAAGCTGAGGAGACGGCTGTAAATCAACCAAAAGAGACCAGAGAATTCATTTGGCTGAGGAAGGGAGCTAGGCGGCTTCTGGAAGGAGGTGAACACCGGGAGACATGGCTTCCAGTTCACACCCTGCCTAGCTGCAGATCCAGCCTGGCCCGGCAGGATGTCCCGCTAGACAGCCATGGACGGAGCCCACAGTGCAGGCCTGCAGCTGCAGCCACTCCCACCCACCAGCGGTGCCACCTCCACGAGCCTGAGCAGCAGCGAGGGCTCCTTCTCCTACAAGGTAAGCACCTCACTTTCCTCTGAGAATTGTATGGTTTCCTAATAGGAGAGACACAAGAGCTGAATGGCCTCACCAGTGCGCCCAGGGTCTGTATGCCCGTCACCAGCAGAAACAGGAAGGTCCTCCACAGACACGGGACAACACCGCAACACAAGGAGAGAAATGCTCGTTCAACCAGAGAGAAACGGGGCTAGGGAGACGGCTCAGCCCGTGAAGTACTCTACAGGACAAGGGCGAGGACCCGAGTTTAGATCCACAGCACCCACATAAATGCCAAACAATTCTGGCAGGCTGCCTATAATCCCAGAAAACGGGAGGCAGACACAAGGGAATCCCTGTAGCAAGCTGGCTGGACTGGCAGGTTGGTCAGCTCTGAATTCAAGAAAGAAAGAAAAAAAATCCTGCTTCACTAAATAAGATGGAGAACTCCAGAGGTTGACCTCTGATCTACACACACACACACACACACACACACACACACACAGAGAGAGAGAGAGAGAGAGAGAGAGAGAGAGAGAGAGAGAGAGAGAGAAATGACATTAACCAAATAAATACAAATGTTTAAAAAACAGAGAGGTAGAGATATCTTAAATACAGAGTTACAGAGGAAGACTCTTCCAATTAGGAGATGTGGGTTTGTTTACTTTTTTAAGATTTATTTTATTTTATGTGTATGTCTGTCTGTTCCCTGTTCCCAAGGGGGTCAGAAGGTGTTTCTTCTGGATCTGGCATTACACATGGTTGTGAGCCAGCACGTGGGTGCTGGGAACTGAACCCAGGTCCTCTGTAAGGGCAGTGTGTACTCTTAACCACTCACCCATCTCTCCAGTCTAGGTTTGGGTTTTAGCTGCAGAGCCTCTCTGTTCACGTCTCTGTCTTTTTTCTTTTTCTTTTTCTTTTTTTTTTTTTTTTTTAATATTTTAAGATTTAGACCACATTGTTCGGAAGGTTTTGGAACTTGGTTGTGTTGGTTCCCCTTCCTGGTGGACTCCTCCCCCATGGCCCTGACAGTGGATTACTCCCCCAAAGCGCACTTCTGGAATGGCCGACTGCTCAGGCACCTGTTGAGTTGCTCTGTGGGAATTTGCATGATGGCTTCCCTGTGGTTGGGCACTCGGGTTGTTTTGAATATGGGATGATGTGAACTGTGAACATGATCGAGTACCAGACCTGGTAATCATCTTTGTTGATGTCCTTGGGTGTGTTTTATTGTTCCCCATGAGTAGCTAAGAGGTTTTACTGTCAGACTTTGGTGTCCCTAATGAAGCATATACAGACTGGAACCGGTTTTAAAACTTGTTGTTTTTTTCCCTGAATTAGTTAATTTCTTCGTTTCATTTCCTTTCCCTGGGTAGGGGAGAAATTCCTAATTCCAGGTTACAACCTGTTATGGTTATAGCAGGGAGGTAACAGTGGCCGAACTTGAGGGAACTGGTCATATGGAATCCCTAATCAGGATCAGAAACCAAAGAATGTTCCAGGGTTAGTGCTCAGCTTGCTTTCTCCCTCTCTCTAAGACTCAAAGCCAAGGAATGGTGCCGCCCACAGTGGGCGGCTCTTCCTGCATCAGTTAACATAAGACAGTCTCCACAGACAAGCCTGCAGGCCAACCAGATCTAACAATCCTTCACTGAAACCTTCATCTCAGGTTGCACTGAGCTGACAGTTAATAAGAACCATCACAGGGGCTGGAGAGTTGGCTCAGTGGTTAAGAGTGCTTACTGCTCTGACAGAGGACTCAGGTTCCGTTCTTAGTCTCCCGCATGACAGAACCAAGGGCTCTAGCTCCTCTTCTGACCTTCCTCAGGCGCTGCATACATGTGGTGCTCAGACATAGACTCGGGTGCACACATATACACATAAAGTTAAGTAATAAAAATGTTAAGATAGCCCTCATAGTCAAGACTGATAACACCGTGGGCTGAAAGAGGTTTGGAGAGCATCCAGTCTAACATCCAGGATTTATGGGTTGGGGAAATGGGGCCGCATGACAGGAAGTGACATATTTGAGATCATGTGGCACACTGACAGGAAAAACTGTGACTATCATTAGCTCTGAGTGATGATAACACGTCTCGACCTTCTGTTCTCCCCCATGCTGTGCTGGCTTCTCCATGTGTTTTCTTCCAGGCTGTCTTCTTAGCAGCACTAAAAGTATGCACCTTTTTCTTCATCTATAAAGTGGGGTACAGTAATGCCTGCCCCCTGGCAGTTAGGAGGGACAAATGAATTCGGCCATATGAAGCTTGGAATGGTGACCCCCACACAGCATCTAGCTTTCAGCAGGTGTCCACTAATAGCGTCTCCATCCCTGCTTTGGGGACAAGGAAACCCTGTAGGCCAAGGAAGGTGCCAGGCAGAGAGACACAAGGAGAGTGAAAGGCCTGTCTTCATTTTAATCCCATCCCACAAGGGACACCGATACATATGTATGAATGTCGTGAACATCCCCCTGGAGTTGGTCTCTCTGTAGATAGAGCGAGGATTGGCTGTCACTCTCGTCGCTGGTTCCAGCCACCTAGGACGCTCCCATGCAGAGTTGGGTCTTATCTCAAAGCCGAGGTGGCTGTTCCTGCTCTTCCATCCTCATTGCATGGAAGTGTGTCATGTCTGTCTCCTCTCGTGGCCACTGCGGCCTTCTTGGAGGGAGGGTGGGTGATGGGCAGAACGCCTACATGAAGATCAGATCAGTTTCAACAGCACAGTTGACCTTAGACAAGTCAGGCCCTCTCTTTCAGTGCCTCGGTTTCTTTCTCTGTCACATGAAGGGGTAGAGTTTGTGATAGTCCCCAGACCTGGCTGATTACCAGACATATGTGGGAGCTCTGTCTCAGCCTTGAACACAGCCCAAAGCATTGTGGGAGGTCAATTTAACCATCAAGCGATGATTGTGATGATGGTGGTATTTAAATCGACGCTGGTGGGACCAGACCCGAGGGGGAACTTGGCAATGGCATGTGGCACTGACACACTAGGAGGCTGGCAATCCACACACGGGGGTCACCTCTACCCTGCAGCTCCTTTCTGGAAACACTTCATTTTCTTTCAGAGTCGGGGGTGGGGGGGGCTTTTGGTTTAGAAAATATCAGCTTTGGGCTCAGCTGTTAAAGGCTAGGCTCACAACCAAAAACATAAGAAAATATCAGCTTCCGAAGGATGCCTGGAGCCAGCGCTTCTAAAGGTGATCGTACTAGTGGGCCAGAGATCCGCACAAGCTTGGGGCCTACTCAGGAGTGTCAAGGACATAATGAGTTTGAGGCTAGCCTGAGCTACAGGAGACACTGTCTTTATTTATTTTTTTTTTAATGAAAAGATGCGAAGACAAACCATAGCAATAGCTAGAACCAGCCTCTCCACTATCTCCCTGATACTGAGGTTTCGGGAGCTCAAAGCTATGACAAGAAGCAGTTTGAAATCCTGCTGCCTCTGCCTGATGGTGCCCTTCCAAGTTTCACTCCGAGGACACTCTAGCCCAGAGGCCTCACGGAATAAATGACCGGGACTCCTAGCTTATGCCACATGAGTCTTCAGGCTCTGAGGTTGGAAGAGGAACATCAGGCAGGATCCTTCTTGGCTTCTGCGTGACCCATGCCAAACCCTGAGGGCAGCTGGCGGATGTGTGTTCAAACCGTGTAACCCCTGGGTGGTGGCAGCTGTCCATGACTTGAAATGTTCATAAAACTAGACCACGCACCACTTCACAAAGGTTCGGGGGGCATAATTAGCGCTGATGAGGCCCTTGGAGACACTCAGATGCGAGGGCGTGAGTGGTGTCTGCTGGTATTCAGTGTGTCTGTCTGGAACCAGCTATTAAATGTTAAGATTAATGTGCTGCGTAAATGGCTTTGCAGAGCAACTCAGCCGCCTGCCTTAGCACGTCAGCACAGAGGAGTGCTCATACAGTGCCCCACCCCTGCCCCTGGTTACTTCTTCCCTTCTGAACAAACTCCCCAGAGAACACCTGGAGACCATGTTAGCCAGCACCGTCATCAGGAGGCCAGAATCACGTGTCCACCTGGACCCTCCTGTCTGTAATCTTCTGTGAGCTTCCAGCTCTGGTACAGAGAGATTCAGGGAATGCCACCACTTAGGGCTGTTTGGGGCATTTGCTGTCTGGTTAGTTTAGGGGTTTTGATTTTGTTTGGTGGTTTTGTTGTTATTGTTTTTTATTTTGGTGTATATTTGCGCATGCCATGTGTGTTTGGGTGTCTGTGTCTGTGTGTGGTGTGTGTGTCTGTCTGTCTGTCTGTCTATATATATATGTGCACCATGTGTGCTCAAAAGTTCTCAGAGAGGTGTTGGATCTCTGGAACTGGAGTCCTCTACAAGAACCCTAAGAACCACTGAGCTATCCCTCCAGCCCCGTAGGTTTTGATTTTTTTTTAGGATAAGGTCTTGCTATGTAGCCCAAGCTAGTCTTGAACTCACGGTGTAACCAAGGAGAGGGCGTGGCTCACTTCCCCAATGCTGAGATCACAGGTGTGTCCCCCACCAGGCCCAGCTCTCCTCTGGTTGTCCACAACCCAAAGGGAATGTGGGGGGTGGGGCCTGTTGTCACATGTGAGCACCCTGTGAATGAGCCTTGACTCACGGAACCCCTAACTGTGAGGTGTTCTGGTGCTCACACTGGTTGCAGTTTGTCCTTGTGAGTTTTTTGACCCCTCCCCCATCAGAACCTTCTCATCAGCCCTCCCTGAAGCAGTGTTGGCTTGTCTGTGTGGCAGGAGGCTTTCCCCTTCTTAGCTCTTAGCTTCCACTTGGCATAAAACAGGGCCTTCTCAGCAGCCCTGTTGTATCGGTCAACAAGGCATCAAAGAGTGACATGGTCTCTGCAAGTAATACTGGTTCAGTTACAAGCTGAACCATATGGAATTACCGTGTTTGTTCGGTCAAATTAGTCAGATGGGGGACTGGGAAGATGGCTCAGCAGTTAAGAACGCTTGTTGTTCTTGCAGAGGACTGTCGATAACTCTAGTTCTTGGGGATCTGGTGCCCACCCCAACCCAACACCCCCCCCCCCCACCTACCTCCACCCCTGCCTGTGCACTAGGTGTGCATGTGGTGCACGTACATACATTCACGCAAAATATCCGTGTACATAAACATACATGAAAATTTAAAAAGGTCATCTGGGGCTAAGGCTGTAGCTTGGGTTGCCAGGGTACCTACCTGCTGACCTTTTCAAAATGATGAGTTCACTGTGCCTGAGACAGAAATACTTTCACAGTCCACTGGGCACATAAGTGCTTTGGGGGGTAGGGCAGAGGCTTCAAATCTCCCAGAGCTAGAACAACAGGCAGTTGTGAGCTGCCTCACACAGACGCTGGAAAGTGAGTTCAGATCCCCTGGGAGGGCACTGTGCACACTTAACCCCGAAGCCACCTCTCCAGACCCAGGGTTTGGTTGTCTACAGTAAGCTCCTAGGATGACCTTGAACTCCTGATCCTCTGCCTCTGCCTCCTAAGTGCTGGGGTCACAGCTGTGGCCGTCACACCTCCTCTTACTGTCATTTTTGTTCCCTGTGTTTCCTAATTATTCCATAATAAATATGTGTTGACTGATTTTTTTTTCTTGTTTTTTTTTTTCGCGACAGGGTTTCTCTGTGTAGCCCTGGGTGTCCTGGAACTCACTCTGTAGACCAGGCTAGTCTCCAACTCTCGAACTCAGAAATCTGCCTGCCTCTGCCTCCCAAGTGCTGGGATTAAAGGCATGTGCCACCACCGCCCGGGGATTTTTTTTTAACTTTAAAAAAAAAACAATACCATGCCAAGGAACCAGTGTCTTATGGATAGAGAGATGTAAATGAGGGTTTTTTGTTGATGAAATGACTGAAGCATCCCCAGGGGAGCTGGCTAGTTGAGAGGCTCTTCCTGAACCATCAGAGGATGCTAAGGCTCCTCTGGCGAGACGGTGATGGCAGAAGCCCCAGCCTGAGTTTCCCTCATCTGCACTGGTGTCTACGTATCGCCTTTCTGTACAAGATGGTGGCAGATCAGTGGATCTCAGGAGTCAGCAGGGTAGGTTTAGGCCTGCTCCAGTCACCAAGACAAAAACAACCAAAGATGGTTCTTTCTGAATGTAGCCAACTCAGGCCAGTGCCCTGCAAATCTATAAATCTGCAGCTGGGTGACATGTAAGTAGCAACGTTCCAGGTTCAGGTAGAGGCAGGGGTGGGGAGTGTGAACCTTGTTCAGTTTTGTTTGGGGGTAGACTGTTGGGTATCATATATGTCCCAGAACTCCTTGGTTTAAGTTGCCACTCATGTCTGTTCCGTGACCCTTCCTTCTAGGAAAACTTGATTGGCGCACTCTTGGCGATTTTCGGGCACCTTGTGGTCAGCATCGCCCTTAACCTGCAGGTGAGTCTCAGATGCAGGGCTGTCCCTGGCAGAGGAACAGCAGGTGAGCCAGGTCTGCTGTCCACTCTCTGGGGGTCCTGTCTATTCCCTGAACGTCTCCACAGTCTCTGTCTACTCCCCCTCCATCTCCCCATCAGGATCCCATAGGTCAGAACCTCCAGGGTTCCTTATATGTGCGCATGTGTGCTATATGTATGTATGTGCGCTATGTGTGGGCACCTTTCTCACTTGCTCGCCACCTTATTTCTTTTGTGAGATTTGTTTTACTTTTGAGTTATGTGTGTCAGAGTATGGCTGTGTGCCCATGAACACAGGTGCCTACAGAATCATCCAGTTACCCTGGAGCTGGAGTTTTTCGCAGTACCTGATGTGGATGGAGAGATCCTAGGTTGGGTCCTCTGGCAGAGTGGCACTAACCCTTAGCTGCTGAGTTGTCTCTCCTGCCCCACCGGATTTTTCTGACACAAGGTCTTTCATTGAGCCTGGAGCTCAGTGATAGCACAAAGCACTTTCTGTTTCTGTCTCCCTAGTGTGGGATTCCAGGCACCTACTGCCATGCCTGGCTTTTTACACGGATGGTGGGGATCCAGACTCAGGTCACATGCTTACACAGCAGACACTCCACTAATAATGTCCTCTCCCTGCTCAATCCTGTCTCTCAAGCTGTTGTAGGCTTGGGATTTTCTACCTGCATCCAGTTCCCAAAATAACAACTCCGAGACTTAATTATTTATGAATAAATGCCTATCCCATAAGCTTTGGCTCGTTCCCCGACTAGCTCATAACTTACATAACCTGTTTATTCTACATCTGCCACATGGCTGGTTACCTCTCCTAGTTTCATATGTCCAGCTTCCTTCAAGTCCACGTGGCAAATCCTCCCATTCTTGACTCTTTTCCAGAATCCTCTCCCTCTCTCTGCTGGATGTCCCACCTTCTATTTCCTGCCTCAGCTAATAGGCCATCAGCTTGTGATTGACAGGTGATGCTTCCATACAGCATGCAAGAGAGTCTCTCTCTAAGCTGTGGAGTGGTACCCTAATGACAGGCCCTGGTCTTGTCTCACACTGCCCTAAGCCTCCTCTGCGGGGACTGTCATGGTGTTGTCACCTTCAGTTCTGATTCTCATACTGTCCTTGCTTCAAGACTCAGGGAGAGAGGCTGTAGCAGTTACTGTAGAGCCCCCACAGCACCCAACCTGATAGTGACCACAGCTGTGCTTGAAGAGCTTCCCTTGAGGTCCAGAGACCTGATACACCTGTGTCCCAGGAGACAGGAGTGTCCCCATGCTGGTGGCCACTTTGGTAGGTAGCAACAGGAGTCAGTGAGTAAATGATCTCCATTAGATTTCTCAGAGGTTCTCCAAGGCCCCAAGTCCCAGGAACCTTAAGGACTAAGTCTCATCAGCACAGCCCTCATTGGTTAGCCTGCCTGCCTGCCTGCCTCCCCTCTCCTTCCCTCACTTATACCTTCTGGAATCATCTCCCACGTATACTTCCCAGGTCTCTGGGGCTGCTTCTGGAAAGCCGAGTCATAGACCTGGCACTGCTAACCCTGAGAAAGGCCATAATGCACCATATGTCCCCTGCTTCTAAAAGCCATGAGCTGCCTCCTTCTGGGTCAGGACTAGGGCTGCTGTGTCCTCAGCTGTGTGCTGTGGAAGAGTCTGTGTTTCAGCCATGTGATGTCTGAGCCGCTGGTCTGGTTTATTTTCTTCTCCCCAGACCAGTCTCCCTGAGCATCCCTGTGTTCCCCTGTAGTCTATAGCCCCCAAGTTCTTCTTTCCATCTTCTTCAGTTACAGTCTCAGTTTCTGTGTCCCAAGTTCATATTTCCAGAAGAAAAGAACGTTAGTTCATGCTGGAGCCTCTTATCTACTCTAGGAAGGCAGGCTCCCTGTTATCCACCATCCCACCGAGCATCCAAATGCAGAGATTCCTGGGGATGGCAGCCAGCAGGAGGTCAACCCAAGGGCCCAGCAGAAGCAGGGACCTTAGACCTGGACTGCAGTTCACCTGTGGAGTGACTTAGGGCTGCTTGTTTCTAACCCAGGCAGCACGGTGGCTCCTGCCTGGAATCCCAGCATTCATGAGGCACAGGCAGGTAGATAGGTATTTCTTTTCTCTTTTTTTAGATTTCTTTATTTTTGTGCTTGCGAGTGTTTGTCTTCATGTCTGTGTACCACGTGTTTGCCTGGTGCCTGTGACTGTCAGGAGAGGGAACCGTACCTCCCAGAACTAGAGTTCCGGGTTGTTTATCAGCTACCACGTGGGTGCTGGGAACTAAACACAGCTTCTCTGTAAAAGCAACATATGCGCTGAGTCATCTCTATGGACCTAAGGATTGAACTTTCAGGATCTTCTTGGGCTACATGATTGGGAGGGGGGGCTGGGGCTGGAGAGATAGCTTACTGGGTAAAGTCTAGCCTTGTAGGCGTGCGGACCTAAATTCAATCCCTAGAACCCATGTAAAACCAACCCATTGTGGTGGCATGCATTTGTAATCCACAGATGAGTGGCTGGCTGGAACTCACTGGCAAGCCAGCTGAGCCTACTTGTTACACCCAGACCACTGAGTCACTCTGTCTCAAAAACCATGACAAAAGATTGTTTTCCCTGGTCCCCACCCCACACTCACACACAAACACATACAAATGTGTGTGTACACCCACATACCTATGAACATGTATCCCCTCCACACATATACATACATATCCACATACATGTGACTGCACGTGCTCACACACACGCATACACACACAGACACACACACACACAAAGCTCCATTTCAAGGTCCTACCCACATGTCCCCTAAACCCCACTCAGACCCACATATATACTTTTTAAAGGTGGAGTGTCAGCTTGGACTCCTTCAGCAGAGCCTTTCATTTCCTAGAAACCTCTGTTCAAATTGCATTCCTTCTTGAACTTATAGAAATACTGCCACATCCGCCTGGCAGGCTCCAAGGATCCCCGGGCCTACTTCAAGACCAAGACATGGTGGCTGGGGCTGCTCCTGCTACTGCTGGGGGAACTGGGTGTGTTTGCCTCCTACGCCTTCGCGCCACTGTCACTCATCGTCCCTCTCAGTGCTGTCTCTGTGATAGGTAAGCCCCAACCTTCTCGTCACCCAGAACCTACTCTCGGGCCCGCCATTGCAGCACCTGCCTTTAATCTCAGCACTTGGGAGGCAGAGATGAGGGGGGGGGGTGTCTCTGTGAGTTCGAGGCCAGTCTGGCTGCCTCCTGCTCACAGGAAAGCAGAGAATCTTGGTATCTTAGTCCTCCTTGAACTCAAAGGTCCTCTTCACTGAAGAGAGGGCCTGTGTATGACACAAGGTGGTAACTGCTCCTTCTGGGCTCAGGGAAGACATCGTTCATTAATCAGTTTGTAACTCTCCTTCCAGCCAGCCTAGGAGGAGCTCAGAATCCTCTGTTCTGCAAGCTGTCACTACCAATTATAAGAAATTGGCAAAGTGGGGAACGCGATTTGATTTCGGAATTGCTATTAGAAGAGCCTCCTTTGTTGAGCAGGGCTGGTAACCTGACAGTCTCCATAAGCAGAGCTGAGTTTTTCCCACCCAGTATCTTCTTTAAGTGTTGAGGATGAATCCTAGGTCCTTATGCATGCTGGGAAATTGCTTTGCAGATTAGCTACTAGGCTGGACCAGTATTTTTCTCTTTTTCCAGTGTCTTTTTCTAAGGTGGTTTGAATGTTTCTAGTTAAGGCAAGTCCTTTGGCCATCCCCACCTTCCTCTGTGTTCTTCTGGATTACTTCCTGAATTCAGGCCCCACCCAGCCCCATTGATAGAGTTACATCCTTGTCTCTGTTCTGCCTGTTGCTGGGGTCTCCAAGGACCCCTTGGGGCCTTCCTTCACAGTGAGGCAGGCGTATGTGACTGAGGGGCCAACACTGTGTATAGGAGTCTTTGCTTTCAAATAAGTAACCAAATTCTTCAAGCTTGGAGGCCAGGGATGGGTGTGGTTTTGAACCCCATTGCCACAATAAATAAATAAGTAGGGTAAATTATGGCAAAATTGGGGGGGTTGTCAGCCACCAGATTTTAAGGGGTTCTTTGAGGCCACCCAGTAAGAAATAAATTTAACACAGTAGCAGTTCATCCATTGGCCACCTGTGAGCTTTCTGTCACTCACTGTTCAGTAACAAGAATTGTTTTCATTATGAGTCATTACTGTGATAAGTGATTTTCATGTAGAATCTTATTGTCCTATAACTCAGAGCAGTAGTCGTTGTCAGTGGGGTTTGTGGACCGGTTCTGGAGTGGGAAGGGAAGCGGAGAGGAAGGTGGTGATGGGCGTGGTCACTGAGACCGGAGAGAAGGGCTCCTCTCTCAGAGTGCTGAGCTGCATGGTGTAGGTGTATCTGCTCAGTGTGACACCAGTGGCTACATGAGCGTGTGGCAGAATAGGATGCAGCCAGACCCAGAACACCTTCTCATAGAAGACTGCCACTCGGGAGGTGACTTACCCAGGGTTACCCAGCCAGCAGAGACAGAGCTGGGCTAGTAATAGAGTCATTCACAGTGGCTACCAGGCTTGCCCAGTGGGACGATCACAGGAGTTGAAAGCTGCATCCCTGCAGCAGTCAGGGAGGGACAAGCATCATGGGAGAGGGAGGATACGGTGGAAGAAGAAAAGCTCCAACCCCCACAGTCCTGAGTTCACATCTTCCCTTTTCATTACCAGCTTCACCCCCTTTGCCTCAGTATCCCCATTTATCAGATAAGACTGCCAGTAATGCCAAAAGTCACACATGTAAGTTATCTCTTGCACAGTGGGGCCTCTCAGCCCAGGGCCCTGGCTTATGAGAGCTCCCACAGAAGGCTCTGGAAGGTTCCCTCTCCCAGATGGAGTGGCTTAGGCTGAAGGAGAGCACTTTCTAAAGGTCTCTAGGGAACATGCAGAACATGTGTTAGAGCCACCCGGAGAGTGTGGGTGAGAGGCGCCCTCTGCCTGGCAACAGCCTCACTTCTCTTATCTGTGCTTGGCTTTTTCCAGCAAGCGCCATCATCGGAATCATATTCATCAAGGAAAAATGGAAACCTAAGGACTTTGTGAGTAAGTCTCTGATGGAGCCCCTACCCTCCACCCTCCCGCCCCCTCCACCCTCCCGCCCCCTCCATGGAGAGATGCCCTGCCCACCCACCCCCACTCCCTTCTGGGCTCCATGTTCCTGGGATGTCATGTTAAATAACCCAAGCCCAGCCACGCATCAGAATTGTCTGTGGCCCAGTTGAAAGTTATCCTTCCCACATTCTCTGCAGTCAATACTGACTGGGCCTTCGTTGTTGGAGACTTAGAAAAACCCAGTGACAGGCACGCACATGCGAGCGCGCGCAAGCACACACACACACACACACACACACACACACACACAGACACACACCATGGAGTTTTAAATCCAAGGGCATCAAACCTAGAAGCCAGAAACCCTTAGTTCATTGTGAGCTGAATTTGAGCTCGCAGCCCAAGGAACCTGCTCATAGTCCCCCAAAATATCCCTCAGCTCAGCTAGACCCGGGCCTGGTCCCCAAGCCCCAGGGTAACATCTGGGTTACAGAGTCAAGGGAAGTATTGTCTCACACTATTTAGAAGCACAGAAGGGAGGAAAAAAAAGATGAAAGTCTCCATGTTTAATTTTTTTATAGATAATCCTGACCAACTGAGAAACATGGACCCCATAGATGAGGGGTTTAGTGTTGTTAACTGAGGTCCCTCCCCTGGAAACCATTCACACTGTGCCGTAGGGTGTAGCAGTAGGGACCATGGAGCGCTGCTCTCAGGGAACTCTAGTCTAATGTGAGTACAGTGTGTGCTAGCCAGGTCTAAGCTGGACCTTCCCCATTGGAATATGACAGGACACCAGGGAAGAGGCATAGGTCTCTTACCCTCCACTCTGTCCTGGGTCCCATTGATGGTCCCCAACCAGCCTCTGGGCAGACTAACAACAGCCCTGAGGCTGCTCCTAATAAGTAGGCTAAGTAGCGGGTTGGAAAGGGACGAAGTCCCTCTTAAAAGTTACCCTTTGCCAGGCAGTGGTGGCATGCGCCTTTAATCCCAGCACTTGGGAGGCAGAGGCAGGCGGATTTCTGAGTTCGAGGCCAGCCTGGTCTATCGAGTGAGTTCCAGGACAGCCAGAGCTAAACAGAGAAACCCTGTCTTGAAAAACCAAAAAAAAAAAAAAAAAAAAATAAGTTACCCTTTGCTCTTTGAAGTTTGCTTTGGGAGTTTTCATTTCCTTCTTAGCTTGCCCACAAAGGGGTTCTAGGTTGGAACTTCCCTGTAAAATGCACGTAAGAGCCACTGTGCAGGGGCTGCGGGTATGGCTCGGTGGGAGAGCGGGAGAGCTTGCCCAGTGCTCTAGGTTCTGGGTTACACTCCCAATACTGAAAACCCAAAAAGTGAACACAGTCTCCCCCTGCCACCCCCAGAATGGCTACAAAACACTAAGAGTAACCAAGAACACAAACAGAACCCTTACACCACGGTTCTCAACCTGTGGGGTCAAACGACCCCTTCACAGGGGTCACATATCAGATAGCCCGCATGTCAGATATTCACATTATAATCCATAACAGTAGCAAAATTAGAATATTAAGTAGCAATGAAATAATTTTACGACTGGGGGTCACCTACAACGTGAGGAACTGTATATCAAGGGTCGCAGCATTAGGAAGGTTGGGGACCGCTGCCTACCAGATACTGTAAGTGATCCCAGGCACTTGTAGAAAGCCATGTCACAGTAACCACCAAACCAAACATCACCTACCTGGCGGGCCAGGGTTTCAGTGCATATGTTATACCTAGTAGAGCTGTACAGACAGGAGCGGCCACAGCAGCATAGTCTATACAAGCCAAGGCTACAGACAGTGCCCAGCAGTGGTACAGTGGACACAGGTCGCTGTCCATGGGCCACTGCTAGGCAGGTTAGGAGTGAATGAGCCCAGTTGTCACAGGACACAGATGGGCCTCACAGATACCTGCTGAGTGACCAACGAGACCGCACAGGTCCTTGTCTATAAAAAGCCAAAGCAGTCGACACCTCCGTGTTGCTCAAAGAGGGGCGTGCTACCCTGTGTCAGGCTGAGGGAATTGGGGCTGATGTCTCCTTTCCTGTCTTGGGTGCTGGGGACATGGGTGTGGTCCCCCTGCTCATTTTGAGAATCCTTCTAGCACTTCCTGTGTGCATACACATGTCAGCCTTCATCAGAGTTTTGTTAAGTTTTGTTGGTTTGGGTTTGGTTGGTTTTCTAAGATAGGTTCTGTCTGTGTAGCCCTGGCTAGCATGGAACTCAGTCTGTAGACCAGGCTGGCCTTGAACTCAGAAATATGCCTGCCTCTGCCTCCCAAGTGCTGGGATTAAAGGCGTGCGCCACCACAGCTGGTTATAAGATTTTTAGAATGGCATTTAAAGGAATGAATGTACACAAAGTTCATGATTTGCATGTGTGAAGGGGCCCTGATGTACCTCCTCCAATAACATTATAAAAATACTCCAGGCATGATGTCACATACCTGTGATTTCATACAGGTGGTGTACAAATACAGGCACATACGCATAAATAAAAATACATCTTAAAACAATGGACTGGAGAGGTGGCTCAGTGGCTAAGAGCACTGGCTGCTCTTGCAGAGGACCTGGGATTGGATCTAAGCACCCACGTGACAGCTCACAACCATATGTAACTCCGTGAAGGCAAAACACACACACACACATACACACACACAGACAATCACCAACACTGGTGTTCTTGTAGAGGACTTGGGTTCGATCCTCAGCACCTACATGGCGGCTCACAACTGTCTATAACTCCAGTTCCAGGAAATCTGATGCCCTCTGACCTCCGAAGACACCAGGACTCTGTAGTGCTGCTAACTGCCCTGCTCTCTGTTCAGCCTGCTTTCTTATAGAACCATGAGCCCAGGCCTGGCCCCACTCCCAATGGGCTGGGCCCTCCCTGTCAATCTCCAATGAAGAAAATGCCTACAGGCTTGTCTACAGACTGATCGTACTGAGGCATTTTCTCAATTGAGGTTCCCTCACTTCAGATGACTCTCGCTTGTGTCAAGTGGACCTAAAAGTAGCCAGCACACAGGCCAAGGCGGCCCTGACTTGCTAAAAGCTCTTCTATGCGCCTGGCCCATGCCTGAGCCTCTGACTACCCTCCCTGCTTCCCCACAGGGCGCTACATCTTATCCTTCGTTGGCTGCGGTTTGGCGATCGTGGGCACCTACCTGCTAGTGACATTTGCACCCAATAGTCATGAGAAAATGACAGGCGAGAACATCGCCCGGCACCTTGTGAGCTGGCCTTTTCTCCTGTACATGGTAAGTGAAGGTGCCATCCTTCCGCCTGGGCAGGAGTCAAGTCCCGGTCACTGGACCACAGGAGGGGCCCCACGGTTGGGATCACTGAGGCACAGGATGACCACTGAGCTTACGGGCACATGCTTGGTTCACATGACATCCTGGCACCACATCTGCCAGCCTTGGGTCTTCAGAGGGCTGTGAAGGTGTGTGCACAACCTGTGTCTACAAAAGGCAGGTAGCAAAACAATTTCTGGGTAGTTGTCTCTGGGAGATGAAATTATGATGAGCATTTTATTTCTGCTTTGTCTTTCTATATCCAACATGCACCTAATTTTATCTTTTTTTTTTTTTCTGGTACTAGAGATGAAACCTAGGGATTCACACATGCTAGGCAGCTTTTCCTGATGAGCTACACCCCTGGGCCACTTTTTTACTTCTTAAATTTTAAACCAGGAACTTACTAAGTTGTCCAGGCTACCTTTAAACTTGCTGTGTAACCCAGGCTGGCCTTAAGGTCTTGCTCTACCTGCCTCACTGGTGAGACATGAAGAGTCATTATTTCAGGCAACAGCTGAAAACTGAGGAGTTACACACACACACACACACACACACACGCACACACACACGCACACACGCACACACGGTCTCTGGAATGTCACTGTGTCAGTCTGGGTATAGCTGATTGGGTGTCTACCAGTAATCATGGGGAATCCTGTATAACTCCACCCTAACACGAGGCTAGCTTGCAGACTGACAGCAGCCTGTAACAGCGAGGTAAGACATACCCACTGGGACCAAGAGCAGGACCCAGCGGACATGGAAGACTTGGAGTTAATGGCCTCCAGCTAAAATCTCTCTCACCTTGGAATACTCATTTGCTGGTATTCTCCCAATAGTTTGGGGGAAAGAATGGACTTTAGTTTGGGTTTGAGGCTGGCAAGGGAGTTGAGCCATTATTATAGTTTCCTGCCTTAGCATTTCTGGGTGCTGGGTGCTATGTTTTCCTTAGCGGGATGCATCTAGGCTTTTGAAGGCAGCGGGGTAGAAAGAGCACATGGGTGATGATAGGCAGGTAGACCTCAAACTGCAAGCTTAAATTAGCTCCTAGAAAGTTTCTGTTGCTGAAGCATCTTTGTCATGCAGGGCTTTATGCTTCCAGCCCCATACGACATGGTCCATTGGGGAAGAACATGGGCCCTTAGACTGGGTGCTCAGGTGGGTTGTGATGCCCCCCGCCTCACACTTCGTATGTGGAAGGAGCTGTACATGGTGGCTGTGCTGAGCACGGTGTCTGGCCTATGGGAAGAGTTCACCCAGCGTAGCACTGTTTCTCTGTAAATGGAGTCCTCTCTACTGTGCAGAGAACATAGCAGAGGTTTGGGGATGTTTAGACTTGCCCATGGTCACATCAGCAATTTAGAGACAGATGCAACTACAGCCTGAATCTCCTGGTCTCACTCAGTCTCACCACATAGCCCAGGCTAGCCTACAACTCAAAATCCTCCCGAGTCCCAGGATTACGGGCATGGACCACCACACCCGGATCTTGCACTCCTCTATCTACGCTGGGAGCTGTGCCCACCTGAGGCTTGGTGACAAAGAATGTACACCTGTTACTTGACCAAATGGCTCCTGGAGTGAGTGTGTCATTCTGGGGTGGCATTTTGCTTCTTTTGTTGGTTTGGTTTGGTTTGTTTGGTGCTCGGTATAGACCCCAGGGCCAGGAATGTATTAAAACATGCTCTGCCATCTGTCTGCACAAAACAACTTTGCACTTTGTTATTCTGAGACCTATGTTACCCAGGCTGGCCTTGAACTCACCATGCAGTCCAGGCCGACCTTGAACTCTCAACCCTCCTACCACAGCCTCCATCCTAAGTGTGCCAGTGGGCCCAACAGGTGCCTTCCTCTTTCTCTACCCAGCCACACATACTCGGGGCTCAGTTGGGCCGGGGGACACACACTGAATCCCCAACTAAATGCTTGGGTCACCGATGTCCTCCGCAGCTGGTGGCGATCATCCTGTTCTGTCTGCTGCTGTACTTCTACAAGGAGAAGAATGCCAACAGCATCGTTGTGATTCTCCTCCTGGTGGCCCTGCTTGGTAAGCAGTGTCTGGATCATGGGGTTCATGGGGCTGTAGGCTCTGGCTACAGACAAGTCTCCAGACTTGAAGTCCAAAGGGGGGACTCAGAGAGGGCTGTCTGCAGCAAGATAAATGTAAGCAGACATAGACGGGGTCAAGAGCCACGTGAGTGTGGGCAGTGACCCAACAGGAGGAGGGAGGACGCAGGGTGAGATAGGTGAGGTCAGAGGTCACCTCAGAGAAACCCCTGAGCTGTCCAGAAGCACTACCAAAGGGTGATATGGACAGAGGGCAGGAATGGAGCCAGAGCAGACAGATTTTCTTTATTTTAACGGGATGAGTGATGAGTGGGAAGATGGTCCCCAGGCTGAGACATGATGCCACGTGTCACCCAGTGCCCAACAGAGCAGGAGAAGGACCCCACTTCCTCTTAGCCCCACGGCTGTCTGGTGACTCTCCTTTACATAGCACTACACAGCGGACAATAAAAATACACAAAGGTTGTGTGGAAAGCTAGCTGATACAGGCAGAGGTGGCCACATGTGCTATTCCCCCAATCCCACCTTGGGGACAGGGCCCCCAAACCACTCAGATATCTGTCACTGGCTGGAATTATTTGGGCTACTTCTTGAAACAGCTTTATATAGAAATAGAATTCATATGCCACAGGGTTCCTCTACTCAAGGTAAGCCGATGTATGCACTTCACTATAGCCACAGACTTGCACACTCACTTCACTATAGCTACAGACTTCCACACTCACTTCACTATAGCCACAGACTTGCACACTCACTTCACTATAGCCACAGACTTGCACACTCACTTCACTATAGCCACAGACTTCCACACTCACTTCACTATAGCCACAGACTTGCACACTCACTTCACTATAGCCACAGACTTGCACACTCTAATCCGAGAACATTTTCACCCCTAAAGTAACCCCTGGACTCCGTACTGGTGGCTCTTATCCCCTCTCCCTAGCCTCAGGCAACCACTAACCTACCTTCTGTGTATAAATGCACCTTTGTGAATCTTATAAATTCCATAGGTGGAATTACATCCTAGCATGGTTCTTTGTATTGAGGTGTGGTCTCTGGTAGCCTAGGCTGACTTGAAATCCCTCTGCTGCCACCTTGAACTTCTGATCTAGCTCCCTTTTTGTCTTCCTTCTTCTTTTCTTTCTTTTCTTTTCTTTTTTTTTTAATCTTCTTTTGTAGACAGCTAGCCTCGAACTCTCAATCCTCCTGCCTTGGCCTCCTAATTCCTGGGGTGGTAGGTGCACCCCTGGCTCTATGAGGCCTTTTTATAATTGGCTTGTTTCAACAAAACGTTCTTAGGTGTTCCCATGTTGCATCCTAAGCTGTTCCCCGTTCCTTTTGACTTCGGTTTTGGTGGTTAGGACCCAGATCATCATCATCTCTTCCTTCATGGCCCATCTGCTGTTTGGTGACACGGACAGCGTGGTGATGAGTACCTGTCATCAATGGCTGCTGGTGCCCACAAACTAGTGCACTAGCTGAGGGTCCCAGGAGGCACTGTGTGCCGTATGGTTGGCACGAGAAAGCCAATGACTCAGTTGGCAGAAAGAGGAGGCAAAGCAGTTCAGCCCTCCTTTGTTTCTCCTAACTCCAGTTTGGCAGATGTGACACTTTGCAAGCTGAAGCCATGTTGAAGTCAGCAATGGGTCTCCGTAGTATGGCAGTCACAACAGTCATAGATGACTAATAGAAAACACCATCTTCCTTCCACCTTAGCATCCTGTTATATTTCCTGTGCGTGTTTTATACCACATAATGTGTGTGGCTATAATATAATCATATTCTTACATAGCTATAATTTTGAAGCAAGTAAAGACCGTTGGATGTGAATTTGCATATGTATAAGGCTACAGAACACTAGAGATTTCTGGGAGTGAAGAAATATACGGAAGGGGCTGGGGAGTCGATTCAGACAATACAGTGCTTGAGGACCTGAGTTTGAACCAGCACCACGTAAAAAGCCAGGCACAGGGTGTACCCCTGTAGTCCTGGCACTAGGGAGGTGGAGGCAGGAGCAGAGGCAGGAGCATCACTGCTACTCACTAGTCAGCCAGTCTAGCCAAAGTAATGAGCTCCAGGGTCAGTAAGAAACTCTGTCACCAAAAGCAAACAAACAAACAAAGGAGAAACACTAAAAAAAAGAAGAAGAAAAAACCCACCCCACGTGTGTAGGATTGCTATGAAGGCCAAAAGAGAGCATCACACCCCCCAGATCTGGACTTAAACAAGGTTGTGAGCTGTCATGTGGGAGCTGGGAATTGAACTCAGGTCCTGTAGAAGAGCAGTCTGTGCTCTTCACCACTGGGCCATCTCTCCAGCCCCTAACCAAAAGAAAAAAAAAAAAGTGGGGAGGGGTGGAGAGCAATGCAGGCCTTTAATCCCAGCACTTGGGAGGCAGAGACGGGCAGATCTCTGAGTTCAAGGCCAGCCTGGTCTACAGAGTTCCTGGACAGCCAGGGCTACACGGAGAAACAAAAAACAAACAAACAAACAAGTACATGTGACTGAGGGTTATGAAGTCCCAATTCCTGACTTCTTTCCTTACCTGTTTTCCTGAGATTATCATCAAGTGATACTCGGGGAAATTTGTGTCCCATTCCCTGCCATGGTCTGGGGACAGAGACCTGAACTCATTGCCTAGTAAGGTATAGTCAGGTGACATTTGGAAATAGCTGTGGGCACTTCCCTTCCTTTGACTTGTCCGCCCAGACATGGGAGTCATGGGCAAGGTAGACCTCTTCAATGGTGACTTCTTCCCAGGGGATCTCCGTGAGCCTCCGCCTCTGTCCCCAGGTCCATTCACGATCTGACTCCTTACATTCTCCTGAGGCCTCCCACACCCTCGTTTGCCCTTCACAGGTTCCATGACGGTGGTGACAGTCAAGGCCGTGGCAGGAATGCTGGTGCTGTCCATCCAAGGCAACCTGCAGCTGGACTACCCCATCTTCTACGTGATGTTTGTGTGTATGGTGGCCACTGCCATCTATCAGGCCACGTGAGTTGTGTTTCCTCCACTCTGGGCCTAATTCTGACCAGTTCTAAAGTTACAGGGGAGACAGAACATACAGGTAGCCAGTTTAGCATCTGGGTGGAGCTCCTGGGACGAAGGTCAGGGAGGAGACTGAGCTGCCCCTCCCCCTCCCTGCCCTGAATGTGCCTTCTACTTCAAAGTATGAGGAGCAGCCTCACTCCCTGTCATATGCCCTGTGGGGACTTGAGAATCCTTGTGGTCACCTTAGAGGCACGATCTTGACTGCTTCGAAGGACAAGCTGCCATTTCTCATCCTCGAGAACTCTATCCCTGGTCCTCACAGGGAGAAGAGTGCGTACTCTTTTCTCCCTCTGGACCCGGGTGATGTGAAGCTCTATAGTCCTGAGGCTTATATCCTGTCCCCTCAGAGTTGTGCCAGTGGCACTCCGTGAACAGTGTAGGTGACCACTTGAGTCAACCTGATGGTCTCAAGGCAGTGAGCGAAGCTGAGCCAGCTGAAGTCAGGCTCCGAGCTCTGGCCTGGCCGCGGCATCCCAGCTGCCTGACCTCGAGGACGGTAGCAGTAGCTGCTGCTGGCGGTGAGGCCCATCTTCCATTCACCTGTGCTCACAGCACCTTCTGGAGGGGAGAGGGGACAGAAATGGTGTTGTCTGTCCCAGGCTGCAGATGAGGCAGACGGAGCTCAGAAGTGACAGGTTGAGAGAGCCAGACCCAGACATCAGGCTCCCAGGCTGGCCCCGCTGTACCTGCTCCTCTAGTCCTACTGGGCTTTTCTGGGTCTCAGCTTCACTCTCTGAGACCCACAGGTCTGCCTGAAGTGGCCCACTCGTGGTGTCCACACAGCATCAGCTTGGTCACTAGTGTTTTATGACTTTTAGCCTCCCAATACCATTACTGCACTTCCACAGGGAATCCCTGCCCAGTCCACAGCTCCATGCTGTGAGAATCAGGGTGACGCAGGCAACCAGGGGCTCCTGCCACCTCTCAGGACCTTCTGGTCTCCCAGTCCAAGACAGCCCCTGCCCCCCAGCACCCAGAGCTGCTGTCCTTCTTCCAGCTCTCGGGGACTTAGCCCATGCACAGATGGTTAGCTGAGTGGTTAGCGTTTGTGTGGGTCGCTGTTGCAGCGCCAACTGGAATGTCAACAGAGAGAGGACAGGATGGGTTCCCACATGAAGGTGGTGTCTGTCACAGACATAGAGATTAGGAACAGTGCTGACTTCCCCTTTCTCCCGTTTATTGCAGTAACCACTAAAGTATGTTTCTAATATTTAAAAAATTACAATTTTGTTCTGGATGGGACAGGCGTTAGGAGAGAGCCCTGGGATGTGTGGACCCAGAGGCAGCTCTGTTCTGTGAGGTGGGGGTCAGGAATGAGAAGGGTACAGCAGTGGCCAGAGCCACACAGCCAGAGGCACACCACAGGCAGGCCTGTCTGTGGGCCAGGTACAGACTCCAGATCTTGGGATACACGGTACCCCGTAATAAGGAGAGGCCATTCTTACAGACCTAGAAACTCCTGTGCCTTACCTCACATTCCCAAGTTTCTCTCTTCTTCCTCTCGGTCCACTGACCCAAGTGCCTGTGTGTTGCAGATTTCTGAGTCAGGCCTCTCAGATCTATGACTCCTCCTTGATCGCCAGTGTAGGCTACATCCTGTCCACCACAGTGGCCATCACAGCAGGTAAGAGTAGCCCTTTATTGGGATTCTGTCTCCTGCCCAGGGAGTGGGTGGGAGCTACCGTTCAACTGATTCTGCTGTCTGGTTCCGCCCTGGGCTTCCGTGGAGGGTGTGGAATTTAGACATGGAGGCATGCCACCGAGTAGACATATGCCAACTGTGGGGCTCAGGGAATTCTCTGAGGCTCAGTTTTACACTCATTAAACACCTCCTTCTAGAACTGCAACATGTACATGCAAACAGCCCCTGGTCCTCCTGCTTGTGGGTCCGTGGCTAGGGCTTCCTCAGCAGTTTTGGCTGGGGCTGGGTTCCGTTGGTAGAGTGCTTGTGCACACAAACCTCTGGCATCCATCTTCCAAGCTGAGTAACCAGGTCTAGCTGTGCATGCCTGACATCCAGCACTCGGGAGGTAGAAACAGGAGAATGAGAAGTCCGGGGTCGTCTAATAAGGAGTTTGAGGCCAGCCTAGGCTTCATGAGACTCTGTCCAAAAGAAAAGTGGGATGGGGAAGAAGATGAAGGAAGAAGCCAACCAAGCAGGGATGGTGACTTGAGCCTGTGATCCCAGCACTTGGGAAGCTAAGGCAGGAAAATGATTGTGAACTGTGGTTAATGACAGATGTGACTGGAAGCATATATGATGTGACTGGAAGCATATATGATGT